GCATTTTTATATATTTGATAAATAAAATTAAAATCATAATTATATTTAACATATGTGGTTATTTATTTTAAAATTTTAATGAATAAAATTTATGGTCTTCATCTTTATGTGTATATAATTATCTGTGGTAAATTGTGGTTTATATCACCTAGTTTAAAATTATTATAATAAATATTTTTATTGTGCTTATGTTAGTGTGTGAGTGGGTTTTAGTGTGTGTTTAAAGAATAAAACAATTTAAGCATATTTAATAACATTGGATATATAAAAAAACAAAAAAAATGATAAAACCTCGTGCAGAGTGTATATATATGTGTGTTTAAGTGTGTGTGAAAATTAAATTTTTCTGTATCATAGTTTTTTAAAAAATATGTGATTTTTTTTTTTTTTTTTTTTCTTTATAACAAGAGATTAATTATATTATTAAAGATTACATTTTTATATAATCAAGTTTTTTTACTAAAAATAATTATTAAAAATTATAATAATTAGATTACAACCTAAAAAAACAATGCAAACACACGATAATATACTAAAACTAAATAAAACATAGAGTAAAAAAAAAGACCCACCGAATAATATTTAATTTAAAATTATCTTAAAACAAATAATCTAGATTAAATAATTTGAAAACTTTAATGTTTAATGTTTTTTTTTTTTTTTGATATCATTATTATAAAAGATTTTACTATTTTTAATTACTTTTTTATTACTTTTTTATTAATAAATGTTGATATTAATTTTGTGTATATGGGGTATATTTTTAATATTTTTTTTTATATTTTATTTATTAATTGATTAATGATTTAAATTTACAATGAATAAAATATTAATTTTTCTTTTATTGATTCTATTGGGGAAATTAAATGTGTGGTTGTGTGTGGTGCGTGTAGTGTGGTGTGTAGTATATGGTAAGTGGTATGTAGCGAGAGACAGTGAATCGATTATGAAAAAATCTTTTTCAAAGTTATCTCTGAAGATTTAATAAATCTTTAAAATACTAAAATATATCTTTATAATCGCAACTATAAAATCAAATGAATATAGTGGTTTGATTACAAATATTTTAAAAAAAAACCCACACACACTTTTAATTAATATTATATATTTTGTAAATTAAAGATTTATTTCTTTTAAGAAACCATCTTTCTAATACACAATAGAGTTTAATTATTAAAGAAAAATTAATTATAATTAAATAAATAAAAATAAATCTATTATATAATAAGGATATAATTAAATATTGTGATATATACAAAATTATAAAAAAAAAAAAATAAAAAAAAATAAAAAAACTAAAAACTATTATATTTCTAATATATGATTTTATTTACAAATTTAACTTTAGTTTAATATAGTCCAATATAATTTAATTATTATTACTATTATTATACTATTATTATTCTATTTTATTATTCTACTATTATTATTATTATAATTTGTGTTGGTTATTATTAAAAACAACAATCACAATCAAATGGACAATCATCAGTTGCTAAAAAATTAAAAAAAAAAGAAAATAAATAATATTAATAAATTGTTTATTAGTGATTGTTTGTTTATAATACGTAATATAATGACATACTTCCTGGTTTTGCTTTAACATGAAGACCTAACTCCTCTTCAGTGAAAACAGGTAAACCATCTACAAATTTTCTTTCTTTAATATTTAAACCTCTGCTATCGAAAAAGTCATCGTCGTTATTAGCACTAGCACTACTGCCAATATCCTTTGATTTCTTTTTATTTTCTTTTTCTTTAATCTCTTTTTTTTTTTCTTCCAATATTTTGATCTCTTTCTTTTTTTCTTTTTTTTTATTAAATAATGAATCTAAATCAATATCCTCTGCTACTGTATTTGGTTCTGCTGTGTCTTCGGATACTGTAGCTTTTTCTTTTATTATTTTCTTTTTATCTTCAGTTTTTTTAATTAATTTAGCATCATTATTACTTTTATTGTTTGGAGTTGTTTTTTTAACAACCTTGTTTTTTACATTACTGTTGCTGTCTGAAGGATTGTTTGTGTTTTTTGTTTTATTAATAATTTGCTCTCTTTTCTTTAAAAGGCTGCTCATTTTATTTATAAATATATTGCTTTATTTGTATTATTTATAAAATTGAAAAAGAGTTTTTTTTTTTTTAACGAAAATTTTTTAAAAACGCGGTCCGAAAAAATTTAATATTTAATTAATTTTTATTTTTATTTTTATTTAATTTTTTTTTTTTTTTTACGTTTTTTCATATTTTTTTTATTTTTTTAATTTTTTTATACCCTTTTATTTTTAAATTAAATAAATATTTAAAAATATATATAATTCAAATAATGAATGTTCAAGAATTAGTTTTAAAATTAAATGATATCGATGCAGTTAAATTAGGTGAATTCAAATTAAAGAGTGGTATCATCTCACCAATTTATATCGATCTTAGAGTTACAGTATCATCACCACAATTACTCGCATCAATTGCAGAGATGATGTACCAAAAAGTATATTGCAGCGGAACAGCACAAGGCAAACCATCATTAGTTTGTGGTGTACCATACACTGCCTTACCAATTGCTACTGGTATGTCAATTGCCCACGATATTCCAATGGTTGTTCGTAGAAAGGAAGCCAAAGCTTATGGTACTAAGCAATTAATTGAAGGTCGTTTCAAAGAAGGTGATAATGTTTTAGTTGTCGAAGATCTTGTTACTAGTGGTGCCTCAGTACTTGAAACCGTCAGAGATTTAAATTCAGTCGGCTTAACTGTTACTGATGTCGTCGTTTTATTAGATCGTCAACAAGGTGCAAGAGAAACCCTCGAAAAGAACGGTCTTCGTCTCCACTCTGTTTTCACAATGGAAGAATTAATCAATACACTCATTGAAAGCGGTAAATTAGCTGGTAAAACTTTAGATTTAGTCAAAGCTTTCTTAGAAGCCAATCGTAATGTTACCGTTCCAGCCCCAGCACCAGCACCAGTTGTAGTTGCTTCAAATAAAAGATTCGAAGAAAGAGCCAAAATTGCTGTTAACCCAATGGCTACCAAACTCTTTAATCTCATGGCTTCAAAAAAAACCAATCTTGCTGTTGCCGCCGATTTAACAAATAAACAAGAAATTTTAAATTTAGCAGAATCAATTGGTTCCGAAATTTGCGTACTTAAAACTCATATCGATATCATTGAAGACTATGACCAAACATTCATCAGTGCTCTTGAAGCTATTGCCTCAAAACACAACTTTTTAATTTTTGAAGATCGTAAATTTGCCGATATCGGTAATACTGTTAAATATCAATTTGAAAATGGTGTTTACCAAATTTCAAAATGGGCTCATATGGTCACTGTTCATGGTGTTGCTGGTTCAGCCATCATTGAAGGTTTCAAAGACGGTTTAAAACAAAATGGTTCAGGTTTATTATTATTAGCTCAAATGTCATCAAGTAAATATTCAAATTTAAATTATTTTTAAAAAAAAAAAAAAAAAAGATTCAATATTAACCAAAACTTATTTTTTTTTAGAGGGTTCAATGTGTGTTGGCGAATATACTAATCAAATGATCGAAATGGCAAACAATAATAAAGAACAAGTTATGGGTTTAATTTGCCAAGAAAGATTACAATCAATGACTGATAATTTAGTTTTAATGACACCAGGTGTCCAATTTAATTCAACAGGTGATAAAATGGGTCAACAATACAATACTCCAGAATATATTATTAAAGAAAAAAATACAGATATCATTATTGTAGGTAGAGGTATTTACCAAAACTCTCAACCAAAAACTGAAGCCATTAAATACAGAGCTGCCTCATGGAATGCCTACGAGTCAAAAAATTTTAATTAAATTAATTTAAAAAATAAAAAAACTAAAAAAACTATAAAAACTTAAAAACTAAAACTAAAAAAAAAAAACCAAAATATTTATTTATCTTTTTCTAATATATATAAAACCTTTTTATTTATTTATTTTATATTTATAATATAATTAATTTAAAACACTTATTTTCTTGTTTATAAAAACTAAATTTTAGCGCATAGTTTTGATCAGAAGCGTCGTGGAAACACAAAAATGATTTCAAATAAAAATTTTGGCAAAATAATTATTATTTTATTTTTTTTTGAAATTTTTTTTTTTTTTTTTAATTTTTTTTATTTTTTTTATTTTTTTTTTTTTTTTTCATATTTTTTTCAATTTTTTTCAAAATAAATTATTTTAACTTGTTTTATGTATGTGACACCTTTTAATCATTAAAAAAAGTAGTGCTTTAATAAACAGTGAACATAGTATAATTTAAATTGATCATAAAAGATATAAAAATTAAACAAAAAATTTAAAAATTTTTATTTTTTTTTCAATCACCCCACACACTCACACACACAAACACATACACGCTTAATTTAAATACATATTTAGACACAATTATTATAATTTAAAAAGCATTTATTTTTATTTCTTTTTAATTTTTTTTTTTTTATTTTCACCCATATTCTTTTTTTTATTTTTCTCCTCACTAATTATAAAAAAAAAAATTAACAAGTATCAGTTATTACAGTAATGAATAATTAAATAATAATAAATAATCAAAAAAAAAAATAGAAAATGAAAATAGGCAAATCAATATTGTTATTATTAGTTATATATATATTTTCAATAGTTAAATCTATTGAAATTCACAAAAACCCAAATATTAAAAACTCAAATGTTAAAAACCCACAGAAAAACCCATATAGTAAAGACGATATTGGAGGTGATAAGGAGGATAAAACATTAAAAAAAATTCAGGTCGGTAGAAATGGATTAAATGATACTTTATATTGGGGCACATACAAACCTCAGCAATATTTCGGTTTAAAAACTAGATCAATCGAGCCAATTAACACAGGTTTAATTTGGTCTACCCCTAATATCAATTATGGTTTCAACAGATTCAATTATAAAACCAGTCAAGGTGGTGATGGTGTAGCTTCATACAAGTGGTTAAAGCATGATGGTAAAAATTTTGGTGTTCAAGAAATCCAAGATAGCAAAGGAAATTTAAATTTAACAACATCATTTGTTAAAAAATCTGGTAAAAAAGGTAAATAAATAACATTATATTTAATTATTTTTTATAAATGATGCAATATATTAATTTTTTTTTTTTTTTTTTACTTTTCTTTCAAGGTGGTGACTGGTCAATTAGAGTTAGTGGTAAAACAAATGAAACAAATATTAATAGTCAACCAATAACATCATTAATTTATTTTATTCATGACGAAAGTATCAAGAGATCACGAGGCGAAACCAATTTTTTAAGTGTTCAAAACCATAAGAAGGGCGACACAGATAATATTAATGGTGATTTACAAATTAAGGGTGAACATAAAGAGATTGGTAAATATACACTCTACTTTTCAGATATATCAAATAAAGAAAAACAACAGGAAACTTTAAAAAAATATAAATTAGTCGATGAACATCCAGATATTGAAGGTTGGCGTTACTATGGTGTTTCAAAATTCACAGAAAACAATTGGGATATATTACCAACTATTTTTGATATGACCACTAAAATACATCTTAATCCAGTTGCAGATAAATGGGTAAAAGACCAAAGAAAAATTATTATACCAACATTACCAAATATAATAAATGAAAAATCAAATATTATTGCAATTCAAAGAGTTTTAACTGTACCATTCGATGTAGGTTTTTTATATGAATAAAATTTATAAAATTAAAAAAAGGTTTATTAATTAAATTTATTTTTTATTAACTACAGATTGAAATTTCATTTATTTCACACGAACACCATGAAAAAGAATTGGACGAGAAACAAGTTGAAGAAATTGTAAAATCATTATTTGTTGGATCTAATTTCGATAATTTATTTAATCAACATGAAAAACAATTTGATGATAAATTTAATCTCAAATTTAATTATGAAAAACTCCGTAAACACCCAGAATATGTTTATAAAGTTACAAAAGAATCACTCAGTAGTTTAATTGGTGGTTTTGGTTATTGGTACGGTAGTTCATTATTTGAAAGTTCATCAGGTAGATTTTTAAAAACCAAACCAGTTGTAAGTATTTTTTTATTTTATTTTATTTTTTTAAATTTTTAGAAATATTTTTTTAATCATCAATTTTTTTAGGCATTATATTCAGCAACACCAAGTAGAACAGCATTCCCAAGAGGATTTTTATGGGATGAAGGTTTCCATCAGTTGGTTGTATCATCATTTGATATTGATTTAACAATCGAATCACTATCACATTGGTTTAATATAATGAATAAAAACGGTTGGATTCCAAGAGAACAAATTTTAGGACGTGAAGCACAATCAATGGTGCCAGACGAATTTGTTAAGCAATCACCCATAATAGCTAATCCACCAACTATAATACTAGCAGTAAACAAATTAATTGAACTTGCAGAAGTCCACAAAAAAGCAGGTCACAAAGAAGAGTTTGATAAAATTTTCGAATTTATAAATGAAGCTTACCCAAGAATTCAAAGATTCTATCAATACTATTGGAAAACTCAAAAGTCAGGTGCTTTAGAGAATGCATTCCGTTGGAGGGATAGAAAAGTTAATCATACCCTCGCATCAGGTCTCGATGATTATCCAAGAGCTGACATCCCATCAGATGCCGAAATTCATGTAGATTTAAACAGTTGGATGGCATTCTTTGCTCAATCACTAGCTAAAATATCCGAATTTATAGATAAGAAAGAGGATACTGTAACCTATCAAAATCAATTTAATGCCATCTTTAAAGTCATCGAAGATTACCATTGGGATCCAGAAGAAAATCTTTTCCAAGATATTTTGCTCCATCCAAATGGCACTAAAGAGTTTATAAAAACATATGGTTATTTAAATTATTTCCCATTGATGTTGGGTATTCTTCCAGAAGATTCTCCAAAGATTCCACCACTTGTTTCAACATTAAAAGATGTCAATGGTATTTGGTCAAGATGGGGTATTCGTTCATTATCAATCAAAGATAAGCATTTTGGTACCAACGAAAACTATTGGAGAGGACCTATTTGGATTAATATCAACTATTTATTCACCCACTCTATGTATAAAAAATATATGAAAAATTCACTTTCAGTTTCAGACCTTTACATTTCCTTAAGATTTAATCTCTTATCAAATGTAGGTAAAAAATATATAGAAACTGGATTCTTTTGGGAACAATATGATCCAATTAATGGTAATGGTCAAAGAAATCATCCATTCAATGGTTGGACTTCATTAATTTCCTTAATAATTTCAGAACAATATTAAAAAAAAAACAAAATAATAAAATAAATAAATAAATAAATAAAATCAAAAAAAAATATAAAAGAAAAAATAATATTTAAAAAATAAATAATTATTATTATCATCTTTTTTTTTATTAATTTAGTTGCCATCATTTTTTTTTTAATAGTTTATCATCTTTTTTACCATTAAAGTTTCATTCAATTCTAAAAAAAAGTGTAAATTTTCATTATTTACATAAATAATTATTATAATAATTGTTTATTATAATTTTAAAATTAATTTAAATATTATTTTAAATTTTTTTTTTTATTTTTTTTTTTTTTTAAAATTTTTTTTTTTAAATTTTTTTAAAATTTTTTTTTTTACCCCTATACAAATAATAATGAAATAATATAATAATAATAGTAATAATAATAATAATAATAATGAAAAACAATCTACCACAGTATTTAATTTTTAAAATAATCGAATTTTTATATGTAGATTTCGAATTATTCAAAATCGAATTTAAAAAAGATTCACACTTTTCAAAATCCGAAAAAAAAGAATTAATAAAAAAAATCAACTATAATAATTTTTTAAATAAATTAATAGTTTCAAAAAAATGGTATAATTATATAAAAAACAATTGTTCAAAATCATTTGAAATAAAAATACACGATATTATTCAAAATTATCAGTTTACCAGCTTTTCAATTTATCAATTTAAAAATATAAATAAATTACATTTAAATTTCAGTAACTTCAATAGTTTAAAATATAAAGATCAAAAATTAGATAAAATTTATAATTTTATTGTGCAATTCGAAAATTTGGAAATTATTTACATAGAATGGTATCCCCCAATTTATACACATTTAAGAATCCTGCTAAAGAAGCTAAATAGTCTAAATTCAAATTTAAAAATAGATCTCAAAACCGAAGGTGATACTGATCATCTTCATAACATAAATAATGGAGATGAACACCCAGGGGAAAATTTTATATTCAAACCTTATGATGAAGGAACCATAATAAACCATTTCAAGTTTTCAAATACACTCGATCTAATCAGCCAGGATGATATTCAAATTGTAAACCAGTATTATGAATATTTCAAAAAATACAAATTAATTTCAAATTTAAAACTATCATTTGGTAACTCTTCAAATAATGAAAGTGAAATCCATGTAAATTATACAAAGTTTTTTTTATTACCATCCGTAAAGCAAGTGAATTTTATCTATGACGTAATAGATTTAAATGCATTTTCCAATGGTCTAAATAATAATAATCATTTAAAAAAAATCAAAGTGTCTTTAGATTTATGTGGCCCATTTAATAATACAGAGTATTGCTATACTTATGATCCAACAGAGTTTGACAATCAAAATCTTTCGAAAATTTTTCACAATTTAAACACAATTCAGGATTGGGAATCATTATGCCAACAAATATCAAATAACTCATCTATAGAATATCTTTATTTAAATCAATGGAACAAAAAATGCTTCAGAAATGGCTTTTTTCATTACTACAACAACACCAATAAGATTACTTTCAATTTAGTTAATAAGTATTTCTCAAATATTTGGTCCATCAATAAAACAATTAAAGTTCTAGTTTTAGAAAATTTTCCACTCCTACTTTCAATTGACTTTTTCAATAATCTTTCAAATAATAAATCAATTAAAGAACTTTATTTACTAGGAAAAACAATGATTCTTTTGGAAAATGACCCAAACCTTTTAAATTCTTTTTGCCAAATGATTCATAATAATAAAACACTTAGGGTATTGGTTATTCAAAAATTAGATTCGTTTCTAATTTCAATTATTATCGACTCAATAAGAAACAATAATTTAATAAAACTAAAAATTTTATAAAAAAAAAAATTCTTTTTATTTTATTAATATTCCTTTTTTGTCTTTTTTAAAATAAAATCTTATTTAAAAAAAATAAATCGTGATAGAATAAATTTATTTAATATCACAAGCTTGCTCGATTAGCTCAGTCGGCAGAGCGTGGTGCTAATAACGCCACGGTCGCAGGTTCGATCCCTGCATCGAGCAATATTTTTGGGTTAATTCAAGGAATAAATCTTCCCGGTGATTTCTATATGGTTTGGCCTAGTGGTCGAACGAATTTCCAACAAGTTACTGCTCCGGCTAAGCATTTTTGGTAAACTAGGTAATGTTAATCGTTGTGGTCCTGTATCAATGTTTGACTGGCTTGTTGCCGAGTGAATTTTACTGATTAATTTAAAGCATTTGCTTTTAATTATCTTCACTTTTAAAAAAAAAAAAAAAAAAAAAAATGTTGCCGAGTGGACTCATTTTGAGCCTGTTCCAATTTGCCCAAAAAGTTAAAATATTCTTTTACTATTATGCAATCAATAGACACAAACTTACAACCTTGAGCCCTTCATACCACGCCGAAGGTTATTCACCAGACGATAATAGATATGATCATAGACAATTCTTATACAACTCAATGGGATGTTCAATTCGAAACCATCGACAATATTGTTGAAAGATTAAATGAAAGACCAAGTTTAATTTATTCTCCATCCTCCCCATGCTAAGCAACTTTAACACAACAATAAAAAATCAATAAAACAAATAAATAATAATAATAAAAAATAAATAAATTTTTTATATATAAATTATTTAAAATAGTAATTTATACAAAAAAATAAATCAATTGTTGATCTTCAAATTGAATATAAAATCTTTATTAATATTTTTATTTTGAAAAATTAAATAATAAATTTTGCCTTTCTCCTACTCATAGCATAAAATAGGGATAATTTAATAAACACATATAATAGAAAAAAAATGTGCAACAGTGTGTAATTGAAAAAAAACCAATGAACGGTCATGATTATTAACGCATTTTGAAAGGTAGTAATTTTCTTATTAATTAAAATAAATAGAAAAAAGATTTTTAAAACAAAATCTTGGAACACTAGGAAAAATGATTTAATTATAATTTTTTTTTTTTTTTTTTTAAAAAAAAAGTTTGTGATTTGATTAGATTTTTAACCAATCATATTTAATATTAATAAAAAAAGAACCATAATAATTTTCACCCCTTTTCTAATTTTTTTTCTTTTTCCTCTAATAATAATTTTTTTTATTTGAAAAATTTAAATTTTTTTTTTTTTATTAAAAAAATTATAAATAAAGAAGTTTTTAATCATTTTAAAAACAAATTAAAATATATTATTATTTACAAATACTTGCTTATTATATTCAAAAAATGAAATTAAATTATTTATTATTATTAGTTTGCATAGTTAAAATTTTTGGTGGTATCAACGCCAGTTGCGTTTACAATGGTTTAGACTATACTCCATTAAGCTTTGCTTCATTTAACTACAACACTGGTCACTACAAATACTACTATGCTGTCTGTAATTCTGCTCTCGGTTGCCCATCAGGTAGTGCTGGTTGTCAAATTGATGAAAACTTTTCAAATTTCGAAAACTCCCTTGGTTCTGTTGGCTCTGGTAACTTCTCAACTAAAAATGGTAAAACAGTTCTCTCATATCAAGATTCTGCTGCTACTTGTGGTAGTCCATTAAAAAAGAGAATTTTAAATATTGAATTAGTTCCATCATCCGTTAGACTACCAAATGGCTTCATTGAATCTGAAGTCACTGAAACCTCAAGCTGTGTTTATGGTGTTACTGTTACTTATGACCCTTCAATGGTTAAAACCGCTTGTTAAAAAATATTTATTTGTAATTTTATTCAAAATGTAATAAGATCACTAAAATAAAAAATATTTTTTCATTATTCATATCATTTTTTATTAGTTTTTTCATTTTTCATTATTCATATCATTTTCTTAAAGTTATCATAAAAAATTAATATAATAAAATAATATCAATTTACACTAGTAATGACCAATTATAATAATTCAATTAATATTTTACAATTTAAAAGTATAAATAGTTCAATTTAATTATTATCATCATTAATAATATTATCAATTTATACTAATCAATAATCATAATGACCAATTATAATAATTAATATTTAACAAATTAAAAGTATAAATAGTTCAATTTAAATTATTATCAATTATAAGTTAAAAAATTGATAAAAAGTAATTAAATTACTCTATCATCATTGTTTACCCCTTCATCATCATCATTATCAGCAGCAGCAACATCAGCATTCATCATCATCATTGTTTGTCCCTCATCATTATAATCAGCACCAGCATCAGCATCATCATTACCATCATCAACATCAGTATTCATTTTGGTCCTCATCATTACCATCATCACCATCACCGTCATCAGCATCAGTATCAGCATTCATCTTCATCAATATTCATCTTGCCCCCATCATCACCATCAGCATCAGTATCAGCATTCATCTTCATCACCATCATCAGTATTCATCTTGGTCCTCATCATCACCACCATCATCATCAGCATTCATCTTGGTCCTCATCAGCATCAGCATTCATCATTCACCATCAGCATCAGCATCATTGTTTGCCCCTCATCATCATCATGATTAAAATTTATATCTACCCTAAAGCTAAAAAAAAACTTTTAGTTGATCAATAATAATAATTAATAATATAATTTTATAAAAAAAAAAAATAAAAAAAAAAAAAATAAAAAAATATTTATATTAATAATAATAGACTATAGAATCAAAACATTCAAGTTATTAATAGTAACGATAGTATCATATCAATAATTAGCATTAACATATAACAAAATAGAATCAATAGTAAAAAGGATTCAGATGTTTACCATTTCCACAGATTATTACTGTGTCATAATTTAATTGGAAATAGTATACGAAATAATTTTCAACTCCGTCAGACCAATGGAAATTTTTTTCAGTTTAGGATACTGAAACATCATAAAATTTTTAAATCAAAAAATATAATTAAATTTTATTTTTTATAAAAAATATGTTTATTTTTTTTCATTTTCCTTTTAATAAATATAGTTCTTCATAATATAATTAAGTATCTAATTTTTTTACAATTGATAAAATAGTATTGAATAAAATTGGCAATGATTCGCCAAATTGAGTTTTTGAATAAATTTGTTCCAAATGATCCAAAAAAAGATAAACGATAATAAGAAATAATTTATTTTAAATACTATTTTATAAATATAATATTAAATCTTAACCTTTTATAAGATTATCCCTGATGAACTTTAAATTGAGTATGAATGAAGCCTATATAAAATTTTTTGACCCCATAAATCCAAAACAACAACCAAAATAATAACATGAAGGTTTTTGATTTATTAAATAATCTAAAGTATTATTTATTTCTTAAAAAACTCATTTTATAAATTAAGAAAATTGGTCTTTTAAGAAATTGAATGAAAAGTTTTTTTATTTATAAAAATTTAATAAAACAATTGGATTTTCTCTTTCAGAGTATTTATGTTAATTTGTTCATAAATAATCTATTTTCAGCCTTTTCAAAGAATTTATCACCAGCATCATCAAAGTAAACATAAATTGTTTTTCCATCGAATTCATGAAGTTTATCTTCTGGGATTAAAATACCACCTTCAGTGATCCAAATACCAAATGCTGTTTAAAAAAAAAAAGTTAGTAAATTTTTAAGTCAATAATAAAAATGTTAATTTTAATAACTTACCTGCTGGTTTCATAATAGCCAAGTACATTGTTTTTCCTGCCTTGAAATCTGCTCTTTTATTATCAAATTTTATTGCAGGGTTAGTACGTGCAATTTTACCGGTGGAATCACCGCATTTAACTTCGGTCCATTGTTCAACATCTTTATCTTGGTAAATTCTAACAGCTCTATAAAATAAAATATTAATATAATTTTTAAAAAAAATAAATAATGATAAACCTAAACTTACTTATTCCAACTTTTACCCTATTAAAAAAATATATTTTTAATTTTTATTTTTAATATTTAATTTATTATTTATTTTTTTTTTTATTTTTATAGTTACCTGGTTTACAATAACAATTCTACAACCACCTTTTGGTACATCTGGTTTCTCAGAATAAACAATGTGATGTTTATCATCTTTATTACCAATAACTTGAACCAATGTAAGACCATTAGCTGCGACTATAGCAGATGAGAGAGTGTAGAGACCTGCCATCATTACTAAATATTATAAAAAAATTAAAATTTGTTTTAAATTTTTAACATTTATTAATACATACAAGGAATTGCAACACCAAGACCAGCCATTTTTATTTGTTTTTTATTTGTTTTTTATTTATTTAAATTTATAAAATTAATTTGTAAAAGTTATATTTGTTTGAATGAATATAAAAAAAAAAATTTCTCTAATATTTATATTTTTTTTTTACCACCTCCTTTACAAAAAATCAAAATTTACTTTTAAAAAATTCTAATAAAATTTTTTTTGTTTTTCCTATAAGTTGGCAATTTGACACCAAGAAAATCCTTGCGTAAATTTTTTTGATGTCAAAATTGACTCTTTTTTTTTTAAAAGTTATATCCAATTAAAATCAAATTGAAAAAATATAAAAAAACAAAAAATCTTTTTTTTAAAAAACAAAAAAATGGGGGTATATTTTTTTTTCATCAAAGGTAAAAATTTGTATAAACTCTTTATTATATAAAAAAACTAATTATGAGAGTAAAATATTATGAAGAAACTAAAACGGTTTGCAAAATTACAAAAAACTATTAAAAAAATAATGATTGTTGTAACCATTGATATAATAATAAATTTGATTGAATATTTTAAAAAATAATATCACAATACACATAGTTTTTTATTGGTACGAAATAGCGTCATTGTGATTTTAACCTGGAAAACAGGTAAAGAAAAAAAAAAAAAAAAAAAAAAAAAAAAAAAAAAAAAAAAAAAAATTTTATATACACAAACTTTTAATACAATTTTATTTAAAATATATATACATTAAATATTATTATTTTGGTTTCCAAAACCCTTTCTTTGGGGATAGTGGAGCTTGAATACTTTGTGAAACATTTACACTATTTCTTGGTGAAACCTTTTCATAACTTAATGTTTCACCTCCAAAATGTAATTTTCCTTCAAATTTTGAAATATTATTAATATTATTTTGCTGAGAATTAAATCTTGTTAACTCTTCAAATTTCTTAATCAAACCTTTTGTTGAACTTTTAATATCTAAACTTCTTGATCTTCTATGGAGCACTTTATCACCAGAAGCCTCTTCTTCATTACTATTTATACTATTATCATTACAATCCTCTTGATTATTACCGTTATTTGTTACAACTACTTTAATTGAATTATCAACTTTTTTGATATTATTATTATTATTATTATTATTATTATTATTATTATTATTATTATCTTTAATATTATTACCCATATTATTATTTTTATTTAAACTATTATTATTAATATTATTGTTATTATTATTATTATTATTATTTTTAACAGTTTTATTTATTTCATTATTACCACTTTTATTGAGAGGATTACCGATATTACTATTACTAGTATTCAAAGTATTACCTAAATTATTATTACTTTTGTTAATTGTAATAACTCTATTACCATAATTATTTTGTGATGACTGAGTTAAAATTAAATTCTTATTACTATTTTCTCTAACATTTCCTATTACCACCTTATTTGTTGGTGGTGAGGTGGGGGTTTTACTCTTTGGAAAAGCATTGGAGGTGTTATTATTATTATTATTGGTTATTACGCTGCTAGATGGTTTAACTGGTGTAGACATTGATCTCGATTTAGTTTGAACTGATGCTGTGGATCTAAAAACTGAATTTGGTGGTTGTTGAGTTTGAGAAGTTGCTGTTGAAATTGTAATTCTTGATTGTGGGGTTGTTGTTGATGAAAAATTTGAAATTCTTGATAGTGGTGATGATGTTATGGATGCTGATGAAACAACTTTAGGGGTTGATGATGGTAATACAGTTGAAGATGATTCTAAAGAAATAATTTTTGATTTAAATTGCTCGTTAATAACTTCGTCAGTTTCTGGATTATATGGTCGTGGAAAACTGAAATTTGGGTTCTCTAAAAGTGGCTGATGGTCTTTATTTTCAGCATCTGTTTGAAATGGTCTAGGAAATGATAAAAGCTCAGACTCTTCAAAACTGACGATCTTACTTGCCTGATATGGTCTTGGGAATGAGTCTTGTGATCCGAATTTAGAGAACAACTGTCTTTTCAATTGCTTCATTTCCTCCTCCTCTACAAACTCCTCCTCCTCTTGCTCTTCTTTCTGGGCATCATCTGGTTGGTATGGTCTTGGGAATGAAAAATGTGAATCACTATTATTATTATTGTTATTATTATTTACTATATTTGATTGACCAGATTGATATGGTCTTGGGAATGAAAAATTGGACTCTTTAGATTGTTCTTGGTGTTGTTGTTGATTAACATTTGATGGTTGAAATGGTCTTGGGAATGAAAAACCAGTATCATTATTGGTACCATTATTATTATTATTTCCAATGATTGGTATATGAAGTTCTGGTGGTTTAAAAGTTCTTAATGGTGGTTCGTAATCATCCAAAAAAACATTATATTCTAAAATATAGTTTAATATGCCATAAATATTGAAAAAGTTTGGACGTTTCTCTGGAGCTACCTTGCAACATTCATTCACTAAACGTAGCAACTCTACTGGGCAATCAGTTGGTACCCTTGAATAGAAATAAGCATTATCTACACCCAACTCCTCATTTCTAATTCTTGGACTAAGGTTTTCTCTTGTGATTAACTCGATTAATACCATACCAAATGAAAATACATCACATGCTGAGTCATACTCTTCACCAATTAATACCTCTGGTGCCTATTATATACAATAGCAATAGAAAGAAACATACAAAAGTTAATATAAATAAAATTAAGAGACTGATTATGAGCCAACATTAAGAACACTTACCATCCAATCATCAGTGCCGCAAATTGTCATTTTTGATTTTTCAGATTTATCCATCTTTCTTGCTAAACCCATGTCACAAACTTTAATTACCCAATTTTCAGCAACTAATAAATTTGTTGATTTCAAATCCCTATGAATGACACCATTACTATGAAGATAATTCATTGATGCTGCAATATCCCTTGCAATTTTAAACTTTAATTTCCATGGTATTATGATATCTTTATTTTTAATATACCAATGTAAATCCCCACCCGATACCAACTCTGTTAATAAAAACAATGATCTTTCTTTTTCCGCAATTCCATAAAATTGAATAACATTTGGATGTGATAACCTATATTGTTAACAAATATACAAAATATCAATATTAGTATTAAAAATTAATTTAAATTTTTTTTTTTATAAAAAATAAAAATAAAAATTTTAAATTACATTTTTAAAGTATAAATTTCTCTTTCTAAAAACTTTAATAATATATTTTTGTTTGGATCATTATCATAAATTGTAATTTTCTTGATACCTATTTTTCTTCCATCAAAAAAACCTGCATAAACTTTACCAAACCCACCACTACCAATTTGATCTATAAAATCAAACTTTATCTCTTCATAATTGATTACTTTAGATAATCTTTTACCTGAGTCTTTAAATAACTTGGACATTTTTTTTTTTTTTTTTTGATAATTATTATTTATATTTAAATTTATATTTATTTATTTATTTATTATTTGTTTATTTATTATACCATATACCTATAAGGCCTTATGGTTATATAATATAAAAAAAAAATATAAAAATAAAATATATAAAAAAAAAAAAAAAACTATTTATAAATGGGTAATATAATAATTTTTATTTGTTTTTAATTACCAAAAGCTAATATTAGCATTCTCTAATTAAATTTAAAAAAAAAAATAAAAAAAAAAAGTTAAAAAATTAAAAAAAAAATAAAATAATTATAAAAAAAAAAAATAATTAAACCGTTTATTTTTTTGAATTTTAAAAAGATTGGCATGTGTGAATTGTGTGAATATGTGCGTGGGTGTGTGTGTGTGTGTTATGTTAACAATATATTCGCACCACACACCAAAATATTTATTTTTATAAAAAACATATTTTTTTAAAATAATCACCACCAAATCTTTTTTTTTTTTTTATTTTATATTTTTAAATTTTATAATGATAAAGATCGGATCATCTTTTTCTCATCAAATTCGATTGTTCATTTTTAGTTTTTTATTTTTAATAGTAAACAAAATTTGTGTGATCAATATTTTTCTGTGTTTATAGATTTTTAAATAAAAAAAAAAAAAGTTTTATTAATTTTTTTATTTTATTTTTTTCATTTTTGATATTCACAAACACACCGAAATGTCATTGTTACCCAATTATATATTTAAAGAAATCCTAGAACCAATAATTAAATATCTATATAATGACACAAAATTTAAAAAAAATAAAGAAATAAAATTAACTAATGAAAATAACAATGAAATAATAACATATAGTTTAGTGTCCAAACATTGGTTTAATACTATATCAAATTTATTTCCTATTCATTTAAAATACCACAATATTAAAATACTGAAACCATTGATCGAAATCCCCGATAGTAAATACAAACTAATTAAAAACAATGATATTATAAAGGTGTCTTCATTAACCAAATTTTACCAATCAAACCATGACAATGACGTTATTAATAAGAAAGCAATAATTAGAATCAAAGATCATAACCATGTAAACATCAACGAGTTAAAAGAACTATTCAAACAACCCAATGAAAATATAGAATTTTTAGTAAACATTCAACTTGTATACAGAGAGGATTTTAACGAAAATAACATCATTAAAATCAATACTCTAATTGACAATTTTAATTTTTACGGTAAAATCAAATCTTTCAACATCTTTTATAAAGCCATAAATATTGAGCAATGTAAAATAGTAACGGAACTGTACAAGAAGGTTTTAGAATTTAAAAAAACAAAGTCATTCGCTTTACATGGGCTAGCCAACGGTGTTGCTGACTCATATTTGTTTGGGGGATACCTGTGTAAAACATATCGAAATGGGTCCGTTGTTATCTCCAAAGAACATTTCAAAAATAGATAATAGTACAACAAATCTAGAGTATTTATCTTTAAAAATGTCATTTCACGATATAGTTTCAAAAGCTGCAATTAACACCACTTATTCGAAAACTATTGTACATGATTGGAACACTATGTGCGAAACTCTATCAGATAACAAAACAATTAAATACCTATCCCTCAAGAACCAATGTCCTAGTAACTGTAGCTGTGCAAATGACAATACTAGAATGGATCATTTGGATCTTACTCTAATAACAGAAGGCCTCAAAAGATTTCTTACAAGCCCTTTTATTGTTTTAGAGACTTTAGAACTTAATATCAACTTCAAAATTTTAGATACAAATTTAATTGAAAGTCTAACTCAAAACCAAACCATTAAAACCCTAACAATCAAAAATAAATTCATCAATCTCTCACTAATCATCAAAAGTATTTTAATAAAAAACCGTACTATTAGAAATTTAAAAATCATTGGCGAAAATAATATTTATAAAGGTTTATTACTTTTAATAGATAATCCACAATTAAAAATCGATTTATATTCACTCTCTTTTCCAATATCTAAAAACGAAACACTCTCATACTATACAAAACTAATCAACTCTCACCCATTCCCCATTAAACAATTTAACATAACCATATCAAGTAAATTCGAAAAAAGTAATTTCCAATCAACATCCAAAAATAATTCAATTATTAATATTCATAAAAAAATTATATAGTTTTTACAAAAATAAAATTTTTTTTTAATTTTTTTTTTTTAATTTTTATTTTTTATAAAATTTTATTTTTTTTTCTTTATTTTTGTTTCAAAATAATAATTTATTAAAAACCATATTAAATAATAATGTCAAAGAACGGAACTCCATTTATTTTAGATGAACGTGCTAAAGCATTAGCCAATTACCCACATATGAGAAAGGTTGGTGATTTCTTTTTTGTATCAGGTATTTCATCACGTAGACCAGATAACACTTATGAAGGTGTACATGTTGATCCAGAAACCGGTAAAGTAACTCTTGATATTGGCGAACAAACCAAAGCTGTTATTGAAAACATTAGAACCATTTTACAAGCAGGTGGTGCTGATCTTGAAAATATTATTGATCTCACTGTTTTCCTTGTTGATATGAAAGATTATAAAGGCTTCAATTATATGTATAATAAGTATTTTAATATCGAAACTGGTCCAACTAGAACCACCGTTGCTGTACACCAATTACCAAATCCAAATCTTTTAATTGAAATTAAAGCAACTGCATTATGTAACAAATAAATTTAAAACTATTATTAAATAAAAAAAAAATTATATATTTAAAAAAAAAAAAAAATGAAAATGAAAATTATTTTATTTGTCTTAAAAAAAAAAGTTTATAGTATTTGTATATAAGGTGTGTTATTTATTTATTTTTTTTATGTTATTTATTTATTTATCTATATTTATAATTCTAATAAAATTCTTTCTGGGTTTTCGAGAACATCTTTAATCTTCTTTAAGAAAGTGACGGCTTCTCTACCATCGATAATTCTGTGATCATAAGTAAGAGCTAAATACATAATTGGTCTGACAACAACTTGACCATTGACAACGTATGGTCTATCTTTAATAGCGTGCATACCGAGAATGGCTGATTGTGGTGGATTGATGATTGGAGTACCAAACATTGAACCGAAAACTCCACCATTTGAAATGGTGAATGTACCACCAACACTATCTTCAATGGCTAAACCATCGTTACGAGCAAGACCTGAAAGACGGCCAAGTTCTTTTTCGATATCAGCAAATGAGAGTTTGTCGCAATTACGAATGACTGGGACAACTAAACCTCTTGGGGCAGAGACGGCAACATTGATGTGGACGTTATTGTGGTAAACGATTTCGTCACCTTCGACTGAAGCGTTAACGATTGGTTGTTCTTTGAGGGCAATGCTTGAAGCTTTGACAAAAGCACTCATGAAACCAAATTTGACACCGTGTTTCTTTTCGAATTCGTCTTTGTATTGTTTTCTCATACCCATGAGAGCACTCATGTCGAGTTCATTGAAAGTGGTTAACATAGCAGCAGTATTTTGTGAGTCTTTTAATCTTTGAGCGGTTCTTGAACGAATACGGGTCATTTTAACACGAGTTTCACTGGCTTCAGTGCTTGGGGCTGGAGTTGATTTTGGAGCTGGAGCAGCTTTTGGAGCTTCAGCTGGTTTTGGAGCTGGGGCAGCAGCTTTTGGTGCTTCTTTTGGAGCTTCGGCAGCTGGTTTTGGAGCTTCAGCAGCTTTTGGAGCTGGGGCAGCAACTTCACCTTTAGCAATTTTATATAAATCATTACCAACCATAACAGTTTCACCTTCTTTGGCAAATAATTCCATGATTGTACCTGAAACTGGAGCATTGATATCAATTGTAACTTTATCAGTTTCGATTGCACAAACAACTTCATCTACTCTAACTTGATCACCAACATCTAAAAATTTTTAATAATTTTAATTTGATTTGAATAATTTGAATTATTGAATAATAATAATTTGTTTTAAATTTAAATTAAAAAAAAAATTAATATTTGTAAATTTCGTTTTTAAAAAAAAAAAATTTTTAATTTGTGTAAATCTTAAAAAAAAAAAAAAAAAAAAAAACTTACTTTTGGTCCATGATACAATAGTACCTTCTGAAATTGAATCACCCATTGATGGTACTTTAATTACAACATCATTAGCTGAGCTGTAGAAACGTTGGTATTTATTATTGGTTTTGCTGGTGATGCTGAATAATGGAGTGAATGATTGTGTGGTGACTGAAGCAACATTGTTATTATTTGATGAACTGAATTGTCTGATTTGTGATGAAAGAATTCTTGAACTTGATCTGATGGCGTTATTGGTTTGAACACCTCTTGAACAAGTTTTAACAAATTTAGTTGCTGAACGCATTTTTAAAAATAATATCTGTTTAAAACAAATAAAATAATTATTTACTATAAAAAAATTTTTAAAATAAAATAAAAAAAAAAAAAAAATTTTATGAAATTTTTAAAAAAAAAAAAAAATTAAAAAAAAAAAAAAAAATTTTAATTTTTTTTTTTCTTTTCTTGTTTTATAACACCTTTTTGGTGACATTAATATTATTATTATTAATTAAAATTAAACTTTTTTATTTTAAATTATATAATTATAAATTTTGGATTTTAATTTTTTAAAAAAAAAAAAAAAAAAGTTTCGAGGAAAAAAAAAATTGAAAATAATAATTATTTAATTTAAGTAATCACTTAAATTTTGCATCCATTTATTTAAATATTAAAATTAAAAAATCAATTAATAAACTACAAATAACCAAACAATTAATTTAAAAACAAAAAAAAATTAAAAAATTAAAAAAAAAATTAAAAAATTAAAAAATTAAAAATAATTAATGGTTTATTATTCGATTTTGTAATTTATACGAAACAATTAAAAATTTTTTATTTTTTATTTTTTTATATGGGTTTTTTGAACCATATGAGATAAAATAAATGTGATCATCAAATACAAATCTATAGTTGTATCATCATCAACAAAAATAAATTTACGAAAACGGATCTTCATAAATTTTAGACTCCATACCTAGTTCACCGTGATCAACAAATCTATCAATCACCAATTCGGAAATATCGAAACATCGAAACATCAATTTTTAAATTCTTCAATCTTTAATTCTTCAAACTATTTAATTTGATAAACTTATCCACCAATAACGTTAATAAAAAAACAAAATATTATATTGTTTTTCACCAGAATTATAAACATTCCATTAATATTTTTTCATAAATATTTATTCATTTAAAACTTTAATTATACGAATATTTTTTACAAAAGAAATATAAAGTAGTTCCATCAGAGTCTAAAATTAATTATACCAATATATTTTATCACAAGAAATTTAAAGTAGATCTACCAGGCCCTAAAATTTAATAAAACCAGAGCTCTATCCGACATTATTATTTTTTTTTTTTTTTATGTAAAAAAAATTTTATTTAATTTTTATTTTTTAAAAATTTTTTTTTTTTTAATTTTTTTTATGTTCATTAAAATAATAATTTTTTTTTTTTTTTTTTTCATAATATTCATATTAACAAATTGTATATATAATTATAAAATTTTTTTTTCTTTAATAAATTATACTAATAACTTTTTTTTTTTCATTTTAATCACAATAGAAATAAATAAATATATATAAAAATGGTTGTCCCAGTTGGTATTAATGGTTTTGGTCGTATTGGTAAGTTTTATTTTATATTTTAAAAAAAAAAAATATAATATAATATATTAATAATAATAATATAATAATATTAATTTTAATATATTAATTTAAATTATAAATAGGTCGTCTCGTTTTAAGAGCTTCATTAGAAAACCCAGGTTGCAGAGTTGTTGCCATCAATGAACCATTCATGGATGTTGAATATATGGTCTATATGTTCAAATATGACTCTGTTCACGGTCGTTTCAAAGGTACCGTTGAAAATGTCAACGGTGAATTTGTTGTCAATGGTAACAAAATCCACGTTTTCGCTGAGTAAGTCAGAAATAATTTTTAAAAAAAATTTTTAAAAAAAAAAATTATATTAATATTTTATTAAATTATAGAAAAGACCCAGCAAACATTAAATGGGGTGAACAAGGTGCCGATTATATTGTTGAATCAACTGGTCTTTTCTTAACTACTGAAAAAGCTGGTGTTCACTTAAAAGGTGGTGCTAAAAAAGTTATTATCTCTGCCCCATCAACTGATGCTCCAATGTATGTCATGGGTGTCAATGAAGAAACCTACAAATCAGATGTTCATGTTCTTTCAAATGCTTCATGTACCACCAATTGTTTAGCTCCATTAGCTAAAGTTATCCACGAAAACTTTGGTATTGTTGAAGGTTTAATGACCACCGTCCACGCCATCACTGCCACCCAAAAAACTGTTGATGGTCCATCAGGTAAAGATTGGAGAGCTGGTAGATCAGGTCTCACCAACATCATCCCAGCCTCAACTGGTGCTGCTAAAGCTGTCGGTAAAGTTATTCCAGAATTAAATGGTAAACTCACTGGTATGTCATTCCGTGTTCCAAATGCTGATGTTTCAGTTGTTGATTTAACTGTTCGTCTTGAAAAGAAAGCTACCTACGAAGACATCAAAAAAGTCGTTAAAGCTGCTGCCCAATCAGATAAATTAAAGAGATTCATTGGTTACACTGAAGATGAAGTTGTCTCATCAGATTTCATTGGTGACACCCACTCATCCATCTTTGATGCCAAAGCTGGTATCTCATTAAATGATAACTTTGTTAAATTAGTTGCCTGGTACGATAACGAAATGGGTTATTCAACTCGTGTTATTGATTTAATCTGTTATATTGCCACCAAAAACTAAATATATTTAAATAAAAAGAAAAAAAAAAACTTTATTTTTTATTTTTCCCTTTTTTGTAAATAAATAAATAAAAAAAAGAAGTTTCTTATTAATCAAACATTTAATTTTAACTTTAAATTAAATTTTTTTTTTTTTTTTTTAATTTGCTTTGTCATAACTTATTTTTTTTTTTTTATCTTTTTTTTTTTTTTTTTTTATAAAATAAATTTTTTTATTTTTTTAGATTCATATTTTTTTTTTTTATTTTTTTATAATTTCAAATACATATATTTTTAATTAAAAATAGAAATGAGAATTAATTATTTTTTAGTTATTCTTTTAATTGCATTTATTTCAATTGAGTCTGTATTCGGTTTTTATTCAGATAAAGGAGATGTTATCAATTTAAATAAAAAGAATTTCAAACAACAAGTTTTAGAGGGTGATGGTAATGTTATGGTAGAATTCTATGCCCCATGGTGCGGTCATTGTAAAAGTCTTAAACCAGAGTACGAAAAAGCAGCAAAGAATGTCAAGGGTTTAGTTAAAATCGCTGCAATTAATTGTGATGAAGAAAAAGAATTATGTGGCCAATACCAAATCCAAGGTTTCCCAACATTAAAATTCTTTGCAACCCAAAAGAATGGTAAAAAACAACCAGAAGACTATCAAGGTGGTCGTACTGCCTCTGCTATTGTTAAGTTTGCTTTATCAAAGTTACCAAACTACTCAACCAAAGTTACTGAAGACAATTTATCTAAATTCCTTACCTCAACTCCATCAGCCAAGGCTTTATTATTCACAAGTAAATCTACTACATCTGATCTCTATAAAGCTCTTTCTGTCGATTTCCGTAACACTCTTCCATTGGGTGAAGCTAGAAATATTAAAAAAGAAACCCTTGAAAAATATCAAGTTACCTCTTTCCCAACTCTTTTAGTTTTCACAAGTGATGACCAAGAAACCTTTGTTAAATATGAAGGTAAATTAGAACATTCATCATTATTCAAATTTTTACAACCACACAGCTCAAAGAAATCAGGCGATAACAAAAAAGAAGAAACCACCACTACCACCAACTCTGACCCAAATGACCCAGCTTTAGAAAAATTTGTCGAAATTAAAGATTCAAAATCATTTGAAAAGACTTGCTCATCAGGCCTTTGTGTTGTAGCTTTATTCGATCAACTCGATGATAAAGAAGCCAACGATAAATATTTAGAACTCTTAAACGCCATCGCTACAGAATTCAAAGGTAGAATGAAATTTGTTTGGATCGATTCATCAGTTCACGATAAAATTGTTACTCAATTTGACTTGTCTGGTTTACCAAATATGTTTGTTTTAAATCCAAATAAAATGAGATACACTCCATTCCTTGGTTCATTCTCTGAAGATTCCATCAAATCCTTCTTCAAATCAGTCTTAAGTGGTCTTAAAAACGCCGTTCCATACAAAGAACAACCAAAATTTAATGATTTAGAAAAAAAAGAAACTAAAAAGAAAGATGAATTGTAAAAAAAATAAAATTAAAAAAATAAAATCAAATTTGTAAAACAATAATAATAAAAAAGAAAAAAAAAGAAATTAATTAATAATAGCCAAATAGCTATTATTACAATTATTCATTTTACCCCTTTCTTTTATATTTAAAAAATCATTGGAGAGTGTGTTAATTTTGATGTGTGTATGTGTGTTATATTACATATTATTTTTTATATATAAATTTAGCTATTTGTATTATAAATGAAAAGTTAATTTAAATTTCTTTATAAATACAAAAATGATTAAAAATTAATATTATATTTTTATTATTTTTTTGTGTATATTTTTTTTTCATACCATTTAAATTTTTTTTTTTTTTTTTTTTTTTATTATCCTTTTTAAATTAATTTATTAAAACATCACTGCTATATTAAAGAAATGAAATTATATTTTTTATTAATTATATTTTTAATTTTTATTCATTCATCATATGCAAAATCAAATATAATCAAATTAGATGAAAATAATTTTCAAGATAAAGTTATGAATTCAGAGCATAACTGGTTTATTAAATTCCATGCCCCATGGTGCCATTATTGTAAAGAATTAGTACCAGAATTTGACAAATTAAATGAACAAAATCAATTAAAAGATGTTAAAATTGGTGAAGTTAATTGCGAAACTGAAAAAGAATTGTGTGATAAATATAATATTGAAGGTTTACCAACTATTAAATTCTTCTCTTCAAGCCAAAAACAATCACCAATAGAATATGATGGCCAACGTACTGCTGAAGATATGTATGATTTCTTTTATACTGTTTTAGAAGAAAATGATGAAAAAGAATCAAATAAAAAAAAAGATGAATTATAAAAAAGTTAAAAATAATATTATTAAAACCAAAAATAAAATAAAATATATATTTATTGTTTGTTTTATAAAAAAAACTTTATTTTTATTTATTTATTATATTACTATTTTACTTTTGTTCCAATTCGACTAAAACACCGTTCATTGATTTTGGATGAAGGAAAACAACTGGTTTACCATGGGCACCAATCTTTGGTTTTGGGTCAATAATTTTAACATTTTCTTTTAAGAGAGTATCGACAGCTTTATAAATATCGTCTACTTCAAGACAAATATGATGAATACCACCTGCTGGATTCTTTTGTAAAAACTTTTCGATTGGTGATTTATCACCAAGTGGATAGAGTAATTCTATTTTAGTATTTTCTAAACCAACAAAAACAGTTGTAACACCATGTTCAATTTGATCCTATAATATAGTAACTTAATGTTAGTATATTATTCAGTATACATGGTAGTCTAACTATTACTTACAGCTGGTTCACTGACATCAGCACCCAAAACATTTCTATATAAATCCATAGATTCTTTTAAATTTGGTACAGCAATAGCAACATGGTTTAATTTACCAACACCAATACTGCCAATAATTTGGCCTATTTTACTATTGTTATTAGTGGTGAATGATCTAATACTGTTTGAATTAAATAATTTGCTGGTATATCTAATCATTTTTATTGTTTATTTGGAGTGTGTATTGAAAAAAATTTTAAATGTTTTTTTTTTTTTTTTTCATTTCACAAAAAATTTTAAAAAATTTATTTTTTTTTTATTTTTTATATTTTAATTTATTTTTTTTTTATTTTCAAATTTCTGTATTTATATTTTAAACATTTAACCAAAAAAAGATATTTTTCTTTTTATGACTATTTAAATAAAATAAAATTAAATTTTATAACTATTTTAAAAAAAAAAAAAAATGTAGGATAATTATTCTTTATTTGAAATTGATTTATATAAATTACGGAAAATAAAATTAAAATTAAATTTCGTGAAAAAAAAAAAGGATTTGGGGGTTTCCCGCTGTGCATTAAAAAAAAAATAAAAACCTTTTCCTTCATTAATTTAACATATTATTACAACTCCATTATTAACTACAATGATATAACTTTTATTACTTTTTAATTTTATTAATTATTTATTTGATAAATTTTAATTTTATTTTTAATTTTTAAATTTTAAATTTTAAATTTTAAAATTTTAAATTTAAATTTAAATTTTTAAAAAAAAAAAAAAAACCAACTTTTTGATAAAGTTTTTATTTTGGCAGATTGGGATATATAAAGAAATAAAAACAGATCCAAATATATACTAATATATAAAAACTCATGTGATTTTTTTCACCATTATGATTTTTCGAATTTATAAACGTATAATTAAACTTAAGATTTTAGGAATTGATAAAATAAAAAAAACAATAAATATAATAAATATAATAAAAATAATGATACTAAAGTAATAATTAAAATTTTAAAAAAAATCGTGGGTACTATTTTTTGAAAATCATTTTTTTATCTTTTTTTTATTTTTTTTCTGCCCAGGTAGGGAAATTAATACCGAAAATTTTAATATGAGTCAACGACTTTCTTTTTAATATTTAATTATAATAATAATTACATTTTATATTTATTTTTTATAATATTATCTACATTTATCTTTTATCTTTAATATATTATTTATTTACCATTTTAGTTTAAATTTTCAATTTTTTAATTTTTTTTTTTTGGTCATTATTTTATTTTTAAAATAATTAATTCAAACTATATAATATCATAATCTCACTATAATTTCTTTTGAAAATAACACTATGGTTCATTGTTTATCTCTTCAATCACAATTTCCTTTTAGGTTGCTACACACAATTATCACGCAAAACTTTTTTGATACTTCCCAAATCTATTTTTTTTTAATTTTTTTATTTTTTTTTTTTATTTTTTTTAAATTTAAATTACTTTTTTTTTATTTTTTTTATTTTTTTTTTTTTTTTGTTAAAAGAATTTTTTTTTTTTTTTTTTTGTTTTTTTTTTTTTTATTTAAAACATTTTTAAAAATAATTTCAAATATATAATTATTTTTTTTAAAAATTTTTAAAAAAATGTTACCTAAATTAGCCCAAAATACTTACAAGTAATTTTAATTTATTTTATTATTTAATTAAATTGTTATTATTTCTAATAAAAAAAAATAAAAAAAATAAAAAAAATAATTTAACGAAAATTAATAACAATGATCATCAAATTAAATTTAATATTCAAATTTACTAATCCATTTTTCATTTATTTTTTAATTATTTTAGACTTCAGGTCTTAGATATTATACTACTGAACCAGTAAGTATTTAATTTATTTTATTTAAATTATTTAATTTTTTATATTTTTTGAATTTCAAAAAACATAAATAAAAAGAAATTATATTAAAATTTATTTTTTTTTAAAATTTTTTTAAATTATTTTTAAATAGACTTTAAAAGAAAGATTAACTCAAATCCTTCCAGGTCAAGTTGAACATGTTAAAAAATTAAAAGCTCAACATGGTGATAAAATCGTTGGTACCTGTACTATTGCTCAAGTATGTATAATGATAATATTAATAACACAACGATAGTATTTTTTTAAAGTATTAATATTTAACTTATTTTATTATAGGCTTATGGTGGTATGAGATCAGTCAAAGCTTTAGTTACCGAAACTTCATCATTAGACCCAGAAGAAGGTATTACTTTCCGTGGTTTAACCATCCCACAATGTCAAGAACAATTACCAAAAGCCCCAGGTGGTAATGAACCATTACCAGAAGGTATTTTATGGTTACTTTTAACCGGTGAAGTCCCAACTGAATCACAAGTTAAAGAATTATCAAAAGATTTAGCCAAACGTTCAGGTCTCCCAACTCACGTCAAAGCTATGATCAAAGCCTTCCCAAAAGATTTACATCCAATGTCACAATTTGCCGCTGCTGTTTTAGCTCTTCAAAAAGACAGCAAATTTGTTAAAGCCTACAATGATGGTGTCAAAAAAGATAAATATTGGGAATCAACTTTAGAAGATTCATTAGATTTAATTGCTAAATTACCAGAAATTGCTGCTTTAATTTACCAATCAACTTATTACAGCAAAGATCTTCCACACACAATCGACGCCAATCTCGATTGGTCAGCCAACTTTACTAAAATGTTAGGTTTCAACGATAAAGGCTTTGATGAATTAATGAGACTCTATCTTACCATCCACTCTGATCACGAAGGTGGTAATGTTAGTGCTCACACCACCCATTTAGTTGGTTCAGCTTTATCAGATGCCTATTATTCATTCGCTGCTGGTATGTGCGGTCTTGCTGGTCCATTACACGGTTTAGCCAATCAAGAAGTACTCTCATGGACTCTTGACTTACAAAATAAAATCGGTGAAGGTAAAGAAGTTTCAGATGAAAAACTCGCTGAATTAGTTTGGGAAGGTTTAAACGCTGGTCGTGTTGTTCCAGGTTTTGGTCATGCTGTTTTAAGAAAAACTGATCCACGTTACACCAGTCAACGTGAATTCGCCCTTAAACATCTTCCAAACGATCCATTATTCAAATTAGTTAGTCAAATCTTTAAAGTTGTCCCAGACGTTTTAACCAAACACGGTAAAACTAAAAACCCATATCCAAATGTTGATGCCCACTCTGGTTGTCTTTTACAATACTACGGCTTAAAAGAACATAACTACTACACTGTATTATTTGGTGTATCAAGAGCTTTAGGTGTTTTAGCACAACTCGTCATCAGTCGTGCTCATCAATTACCAATCGAAAGACCAAAATCAATTACCTCACTTTGGATCGAAGAATTTGTTAATAAAGAATCAAACAAAAATTAAGATTTTAAAATAAAATAAAATAAAATAAAATAAATAATTAAATACAGATAATAAAAATAATATTATAAATTATTTTTTAAATTTTTTTACCACCATAATAAATTGTTGTTATTCAATTATTTTTTTTGGACACAGGTTGCGGAAAACAAATAATTTCTCAAGAGTATTTTTATTTCGACAACTAAAGACAAATATGAATAAAAATTATACACTGCAAACTATGATATTTGTCATAATTTGTAATGGTTGTATTTAAGTTGATTTTTGCTCTTGTTGAGGAAATGATCTTGTGAGATAAAGAATGTAAAGTTTTTTTGTTCCAAAAAATTAATATTATTTTTTTTTAGATTTGAATATTAATATGTGATCATTTTTTTTAAAGTATTTCCAATTTGGCTAGTATCTTTTTATTTATTTTATTTGTTTAAAATGATCATTTTAAATTATTTTTTTTTTATTAAATTTTTTTTTTTTTTAATTTTTATAAAATTTTTTTTTTTTTTATTTTATTTTTTTTAATTTTTTTTTAATTTTTTTTTTATAACTTCAATTTTTTTTTTTTTTTAATTTTTTTTTAATTAATTTTTTTCAATAATTACACAAATTTTTTTTAAATTATATATATACAATAATATACAATAATGGATTCAGATTATTCATTTTCATTAACCACTTTCAGTCCATCAGGTAAGTTAGTTCAAATTGAACATGCTTTACAAGCTGCAGCATCAGGTGGTTCTGCTATTGGTATTAAAGGTAAGTTTCATCACCATCACCATCATTATCAACAAAAATAAAATGTGATCTTCACATAATTATAATTGACATTATATTAATTTAATTTTTTTTTTTAAAAAATAAAAACTTTAACCACTAAATTATTTAAAACAAATTTGATTATCATCAAATCATAATAATATTACATAACAAATAATATAATAATAAATATATAGCAAAGAATGGTGTTGTTTTAGTTACTGAAAAGAAATTACATTCATTAGTTGATGTTTCATCAGTTCAAAAGATTTCAATGATTACAGAAAATATTGGTGTTGTTTACGCTGGTATGGGTCCAGACTCAAGAGTTTTAATTAAAAAAGCTAGAAAAGAAGCTGAAAAATACTATAAACAATATAAAGAAATGATTCCAGTTCTCCAATTAGTCAGAGAGTTAGCTTCAATTATGCAAGAATATACTCAATCTGGTGGTGTACGTCCATTTGGTGTTTCTCTTTTAGTTTCTGGTTTTGATGAAAAAGGTCCACATCTTTATCAAGTTGATCCATCAGGCTCATACTTTGCCTGGAAAGCAACTGCTATTGGGTAAATATCACTATATCTATATTCAATTGTTTTACCCACCAAACATATATTTAATATAAATGCATGGTATTAATTTTTTTATTTCATTTTTTTTTTCTATAGCAAAAATATGATAAATTCAAAAACTTTCCTTGAAAAACGTTATAACGATGATTTAGAAATTGATGATGCTATCCAAACAGCACTTATTACACTTAAAGAAGGTTTTGAAACTCAATTAACTGAATTCAATATGGAATTAGCTGTTGTCAGTTCAAAAAATCAAAAGTTTGAAATTTTAACTCCATCACAAATCAAAGATTATCTTTCAAATTTGTAATAAAATTATTGTTTTATATAATCATATAAATTATTAAAAATAAAAAATAAAAAAAAAACTCTTGTTAAATAGTAAATAATTAAAAAAACTCAAAAGAGGCAGATAACAAATAGAAGCTTTTATTTAACAATAATTTTTTTTTTTTTTTTTGGAAATTTATAATTTAAAATATTAAAGTTTTAATCTTTAAAATAAAATATATATTATTTTATTTTTTTTTTTTTGTTTGTTTTATAATTTATTTTTTAATTTATATATCTTCTTCCGAAATCGATGTTGCAATTCTACATTCATATGGGGAAATATGGGTGTACATTTTATGGGGCATTATTTGAGAAGTTTTGTAAGGTCTTGGTGAATAGCTACGAGTAATATATTCTTTAACATTGGGTTGAATTGATGTTGGTATACCATTGTTTTCCATTTCATATTCGTAATCATCGATTTCATTAAAGAAAAGATATGATACCGAGTCAAATTCGTTATCTAAAATATCGCTACAACCATCTCTATATAAATTATAAATTACTCTATTTAATTTTGAAAACTAAAATAAAAATAAATATTATTAATACTATAAATTTAAATTTTGAATTTTAAAAAACTTACTTTGGTTTTTAATGAGATTAGTTTTGAATAACTATTTTCAATATCTTGTAATGTTTTGAAAATTGGATCAAAGTCTTTAGATTTAATTGATTCATAGTTTGGAATTTGTGATGGCCAAGTTTGGTTAACTGTTTCAAAATATTTTTCTACCAATTGCCTCATTGGTTGGAAATCCATACCAAGACAATATTCGCTTGAAAGATTACTTTTATTTTTTTCATTTGAAAAGATTGTGGCGATTGAGGTTAAAATTACTGACATTATCCTATAAAAAAAAAAAATTAGTATCTTTTTTTTTTTTTTTTGAAATTTTATAATAAATTTATAACTTACTGATGGATTAAATCTGATGGTAAAATATTTTCTAAATATGAAATTGCATTGGTTGCTTGTTTGTTAAAATCAAATAATGGTTTTTGTTTTGAAATTGGTATTGGTTTGGCTTTTGCCCAAGTCTTTTTCCAAATTGTGTCGTTACCAGCCATTCTAAGAGATAAACAACCTTCTCTACCATAGTTTGATTTTCTTTCTCTTCCTTTTGATTCATCGAATTCATCTATTGGTTTGATTTCATCATATTGGTCACTTGTAAATTCATCTGCTATTTTTTGTTTATCTAGTTCTTCTTGTTTTAGTTGTTTTAATCTTATATTGATTGATTCCATTTCATTTGGTTTTGTGATCCAGTCACCATTTGAGTGCCATCTTATAAAATCTTCAAAAACACAACCTGGATTTGAATATTTAAAGGATTGCATATCTGATAATAAGGTTACTGTTTGCAATTCGAGTCTTTTTTCTTGTGTCATTTCAATATCACTCATTTCATTTAAATGATCGTTTACCATATCATCTGTCATTGGTCCAAAATCTTGAGTTTTTGGAATATTTATCTCTCTATCTTCATATAACAAATATTGACCTGTTAGTTTTTTATTGTTGTTTGAAACTGGGTCTATTTCCTCTTGTTGTTCATTATTTAAAAGGTTGCTCTTTTCTAATTGATCATCTAAACCTTCAAGCTGCTCGTCAAAATCCCAACCACCCTCTTCTTTGCCTTTAATTGTTGGGGTTGTTGGAATAACATCTTCATCATCCCAACCATTTTGATTACTATTATCATTATCTTCATTGTTATTATTGTTGTTTGTACTGTTGTATTGTTCTTCAGTTTCTTGATAGTTTTGATATTCATGTCTTTTTTTTACACAATAATTAATCATTTGTAATTTTTGGAAAATTAAGCAATTATTTACACTGATATGGGATGATGAAAAGGTTCTTGGAATTAAAATTTGATGTTCCCAATGCCATTTAATTTCATCTACAAATTCGCTCCAGAATAATAGTACACCAACCAAGCTTTGAATATTTAGACACATTAAAGAGAATGAAAAGAATAGAGAGTCGATTGGTGCTCTTTTGATTCTTGTACTTTTATTGGTTAATGGTGGGGCATTTAAATCTTCTTCCGGGATATTGTCAAAATGATAGATATCACTTGGGTCTTTAGAATCAGTAAATAGTGATTGTAAAAGTTGTTCCAGTTCTCTAGATGTAGGAATAAGTGGTGAGCTGAGTGATGATGCTAATGATTTAGTAAAAGTACCCATAGTTTTTAAAATACTGTCAGTTCCTTTATAATTTTGTGATTGATTATCATCATCATTATATTCATTTTGGTCCGAGGCATTTTGTGTTTTATTGTGATGTTGTGATTGGTATTTTTGCTTTGATGAAGAAGAGGGGTTTGTTGAAGATGTTTTGTTTAAATTGTAGTCTGTTAAGATTTGTTGAATAGAGGGATTGTATTGGGACATTAATTTGATTGATTCGACATAGGATGTGAAGATATTAATTACACCAATGGAGAGTTGGAAGAGACTGTTGTGTGGCTTTCTAAATAAAACTTTAACAAACCAGCTTTTTGGTGTTTGGCTAGATTGAAAATCATTCTCTAGAATGTGGGTACTTTTGATTGGTGGGCTAATTACACAGTAATGTAGTTCATTAATTGGATCCATTGGATAACCCCATCTAAATATTTCGTTATCATAGTCCACGGAAGAGGAGGTGGATGATGACAAGGAGGCGGCATTTCTCCAATCGATATCATTCCAATTGCCTTTGATATATGTATATTTGGTTGATGTTGTTGATAAATTTAAAAATTGGTCCCAATTTCTATCGTCTGGGTCCACTGATATTTTTGAATAGAATATTTTTAATTGTTTTTCAAAAGATTCTGCTATATTTTGATTTGGTGATAATGTTGATAATATAATAGATTCGGTTGCAAATTTTACAAAAAAGTGGTCTTCATTCTCTAAAGATTTACTTGAAATTGGTGCATACATATAGCCAATAAAATTTTCATATCTCTTTTCGTCAAAACCTACAAATGCTGGTAAGTAACACGCACAGTTATGTAATGCTATTGAAAATGCTGATAGTAATGTTGATAACTCTGTAACATTTGGTCCATTGTCCCTAAGTGCTAAAATTAAAAAATACTCTTGGATACCAAACCAATTTAAAAAATTTTCAATTTGATAAATATTATTATTTGATTGTTGATTATTTAAGTTTATATTATCATTGTTTAAAAATTTATACTGAAAATCGTTTTTTGCATTCATAAAGCCTAGTAGTTTATTATTTTTTTTTAAAAAAAGGGTTAATATATCATAAATTTATAAAATTATAATATATAAATAATTACCATTATATTTTAATTTTGAAATTTTTGAAATTTCAGATTTATTTAGTGTTGATGTATTAATTGGTGAGATATAAACCAATTGATAGTGTGAGTTGTTATATTGAATAGAGTGTTCGAATGATGATTTACGGGATTCGCAACTAGATTGTATAATTTCTTCTAATCTTGCAATTAAATTCTCCCATGACGATGCTTGTGTATAATCTGTTATTTCAAAAAAATCATCATTACCATCATGTTGGTGTTTGTATCTTGAGGATCTGACCATTTATTTTTAATTTAATTTAATTTATTTATTAAAAATAAATTATATTAATTTATACATAGAATTAAATAAATAAAAGAAAATAAAAACAAAAAAAAAAAAAAAAAATAAATTAAATTTAAAAATTTAAAAATTTAAAAAAAAAAAAAAAAATATTATTTTCAAAAAATATTTTTTATATTATTTAAATTATAATTATTACCTTTTAAATACATTGATTATTTATATTTAGTTTTGGTGTTTATTAGAAATTCATTGTTTTTCAAATAAAATACTTGATTTAATGCAATATACATCTTTGATAATAATAATAATAATAATAATAATCAAAGATATTATTAAAATATTTAAATACCACTTGGATTATGAGCAGGTGCAGGAGCTAAAATATATCTGATGGGAAATAGATAAGCAAATAAACTAATATTCAATTAAATTATGGAATATGAGTCTATTAGACTTGTTATAGCAAGAAAAGCTCTCATGATTAAATAGTAACATTCATCATCAGCATAAAGAGTTAGAAATAAAACACAAGTTGCGTTTTTAGAATAGCAAATGTCAAAGGTATTTAAATCTAATGCAAAGTTTTTTACAAACAAAACATAATATAAATAAAACAACACAAATAAAAAACTCCCAACAAGTTTTTTACTGAATCAGATCCATCAACTAAAATGCAACTTTCGATTGCATATTACAAAGATTTGATGTTAAATGTAAAGTTTGATGTTTAATATTAAATAATAATATTTTTAATTAATTTTAATATTATTTAGAATGAAAAAAAAAAATAAAAAAACGAAAGATTAAAAAGCATTGTAAAACCTAGTGTTGGTGCAATCTATTATTTTTTGGGTCTATTTAGAGCTAATTTAAAAAACAATATTGAAAATACTGTATTCAACATGTTGGAGAAATTTAGCAAGATTTGGAATTCAAATATCTTTAGAGTGAAAATACTTATACACCTGGAAAGCTACAGAACCTTATCGATGAACCACAAATAACATAAACATTAAACAACAAAAATTAAACAACTAAAATTAAAAAACCAAAGTTTAATAACTAAAATTAAATAAAAAAATTTTTTTTTAAAAATAAAAATAAATGAAAAAAACCTGATTATTAATGACCTATTCTAAAAAAAAAAATTTAAAAAAAAAATTTTGAAAAAAAAAAAAACTGGTGGAAAAAACCGAAAATTGTGAAATATCCAAATAAATGTTATTTAAATGTTTAATTGAATTTAACATTGTGAATTTTTTTTTTTTTAAGAGCAATAAAAAACTAAAAAAAAAATGAAAAAAACTTTAAATTACCTATAAAAATCACCTATTACACCCGAAACTTTAAAAGCCCTTTTTTTCCAAAAATAACCTTTTTTAGAACCCTTAAAAAATTCTCATTTCCCTACAAATTTTTTTTTTTTTTTTTTTTAAAAATTGAATTTTTTAAAACAACCTCACAATATTTTTTTGGGTCTACTACATTCTTTAATACTTTAGGGTTAAAATATTTATTTAATAATGATAAAAACTTATTATCAACCAATTAATATTTTATTTATTTTAATAACTTTTACAATTTTAAAAATTTCATGTTTGTGTGATATCGATTATACTTTAAATAATGATAATAATGTATGTATTGAACCAATTAACCAATGTCTAACTAATAATGGTGGTTGTCAACAAACATGCACAAATAATCAAGATAGCATCACTTGTAGTTGTAATACTGGTTATATCCTGAAAGCTGATAAAAAATCATGCGATGATATTAATGAATGTGCAATTAATTACGGTGGTTGTGGTCAAACATGCACAAATACTCCAGGTAGCTTTGTTTGTAGTTGTAATACTGGTTATACCCTGAATTCTGATGGAAAAGCATGCGATGATATTAATGAATGTGCAGATAATAATGGTGGTTGTAATCAAACATGCACAAATACTCCAGGTAGCTTTGTTTGTCGTTGTAATGCTGGTTATACCCTGAATTCTGATAGAAAAGGATGCAGTGATATTAATGAATGTGCAGATAATAATGGTGGTTGTGGCCAAACATGCACAAATACTCCAGGTAGCTTTGCTTGTAGTTGTAATGCTGGTTATACCCTGAATTCTGATGAAAAAAGATGTAGTGATATTAATGAATGTGCAACTAATAATGGTGGTTGTAATCAAACATGCATAAATACTACAGGTAGCTTTTCTTGTAGTTGTAATGCTGGTTATACCCTGAATTCTGATAAAAAGGGATGCAGTGATATTAATGAATGTGCAACTAATAATGGTGGTTGTAATCAAACATGCACAAATACTCCAGGTAGGTTTGCTTGTAGTTGTAATGCTGGTTATACCCTGAGTGCTGATAAAAAAGGATGCAGTGATATTTATGAATGTGCAGCTAATAATGGTGGTTGTGGTCAAACATGCACAAATACTCCAGGTAGCTTTTCTTGTAGTTGTAATGCTGGTTATACCCTGAATTCTGATGGAAAAGCATGCGATGATATTAATGAATGTGCAGATAATAATGGTGGTTGTAATCAAACATGCACAAATACTCCAGGTGGCTTTGTTTGTAGTTGTAATGCTGGTTATACCCTGAATTCTGATAGAAAAGGATGCAGTGATATTAATGAATGTGCAACTAGTAATGGTGGTTGTGACCAAACATGCACAAATACTCCAGGTAGCTTTGCTTGTAGTTGTGCTGCTGGTTATACCCTGAATTCTGATGAAAAAAGATGTAGTGATATTAATGAATGTACAGATAATAATGGTGGTTGTAATCAAACATGCACAAATACTCCAGGTGGCTTTGTTTGTAGTTGTAATGCTGGTTATATCCTGAATGCTGATAGAAAAGGATGCAGTGATATTAATGAATGTGCAACTAATAATGGTGGTTGTAATCAAACATGCATAAATACTACAGGTAGCTTTGCTTGTAGTTGTGCTGCTGGTTATACCCTAAATTCTGATGAAAAAAGATGTAGTGATATTAATGAATGTGCAGATAATAATGGTGGTTGTAATCAAACATGCACAAATAATCAAGGTAGTTTCGCATGTAGTTGTAATACTGGTTATAGATTAGGAATGGATTCTAAAACTTGCACCGATATTAATGAATGTATTGAAGGTACAAGTGGTTGTAATCAAATATGTGAAAATATAAATGGTGGTTACACATGCAGTTGTCATAGTGGTTTTAGGTTGGATGCTTATTCAAAGAATTGTATAGATATTGATGAATGTAGTTTACCAATTTCACCATGCGGAAACTCAAATTGTAAAAATACAGTTGGTTCATTTCATTGCTACTGTAATAATGATAAAGTATTATCACAAAAATTAAATTGTGTATCAGCACATTTTATTACCAGTGCAGTATCACCATTTACAACAGGTGGTGAGGTAATATTATTTGGTCAATTTGGTGATGTTCGTATTAATATGTCTGTAACGATTGGTAATTTAGATTGTACAATTACATACAATTCCTCAACAGAAATAAAATGTATTATTGAAGGAGGATTAGGCACACATAATATAACACTAATTCAAAATGATTTAGTATATGTTGGTTTAAATTTATTCAATTACAAGCAAAAAACTCAAATTTGTAGTAATGGATGTTCAAATCATGGTACTTGTGTTGATGGTGAATGTAAATGTGATAAAAATTATAGTTTGTTTGATTGTAGTTTAATTGGTAATAGTGGTGGAGGAAATGATATTTCTATTGATCCAGAAACTGGTGGTGTTTCTTCAAATCAAGATACCAATTTTCAAATTTATATTTTATCATTAAAAGAAATTGATATTAATAATGATGTTGTTCAAGAATTTAGTCTACCAAATAAATGGATTCAAACAATGGAACCAGATATAAATAAACATAAATTTTATCAAAATTTAAATAATGGTAGCAAAATAACATGTATAATTGAAGAGATTACAAATGAAAATGGTAAACAATTTACTTTTGCAAATACAACATTTATTTTAAATTATGGTTCATTGAAATTCACAATTCATATTTTAAATTATCAATATAAAAGTTTTTTAAATACATTGCAATTAGATTTTATTTCAAGTGTAAAAGATGAAAATCAAAAAAACAACAATAATTGTAATTCAAAAGATACCGAATTTGATCTAAGTAATATAGATAATAATTTAAAATTTAATTTTATAAAACTATCAAAAAATAATCAAATTCTTTCAGGGAGATTTATAAATAAATTAATTTCAGATGGTAGACCAACATTTTTTTCCACTACAGCTTCAACTGATAAAACAAATTCAATTATTGTATCTTTAAAATTACCACATTGCACCGAAGAGTGTATTATAGACCCTGACTTCTCTTTATTATTGTCAACAGATTTTAAAAATGATTGTAATGATAAATCTAGAAAATGGTATTTACCTGTTGTGGTTATTATACCAGTTGTTTCAGTTGCAATAATAATTATTGTATCTTCAATAATTTACAAAAGAAATAAAGTCACTTTTAAAATTGGTGTGGCAAAATTAAGAAAAATGTAATACATTCCCGGAAAATTACTATTACAAATAAAATATCATTTATAAATAATATTACCCTATTTGCATTTATTTATTTTTTTTTATTAAATCTTAACTTGTTAATATAATATATTAATGTAAGAGATAGTATTTATTTAAAATTTTTCTTTAAAAGTAGTAGTGAATTAAGTGTTTGTATTGACTAAATAGTGATGATGGTGAGTTTGGATTGATAGGAGGCTTGTGAAAAAATATTATAGCACAAAGAAACAAAATGAATTCTGCTAAGTATGATAATATAATTGAATTTTCTTCAATAGCTGAATTTGGGGTTATCTGAAGCAAACACTTTGAGATTTAAGTAATAAGACAACCCTAGTCACCATTTGTTGCTTATTATATTAATAATCTTCCCAATTTGTATTTGATAGTTTACATAGAGAAATTTTTTCTTTACCAATGAACCATTTTATATCTGAGTTCTTGGCTTTAATTTAAGTCAGCATAGATTTGATAACGAAAACAATTGGCAATTTGAAAATATTGTATGCAAAAGACTATTGCATTTAAAAGATTTTATATAATGAATAAAGAAATATAAATAAAAAAAATTAATAAAAAAAAAAAAATAATATTTTTATTTTTATTTTAAAAATAAAAAATAAAAATAAAAATTAAATATATTAAAATCATATTGATTGATGTTTATTTTATATTTAAATGGTGAAAAAATATGTGTAACTGAATTATTAAATTATAAAATAAAATGAGTGAAATACATTATATAAAGAAGAATGTGTGAAAATATAAATTTTTATATTTTATATAAATATTTTTTTTATTATTAATTTATTTAAATGTATTTTATTAATTGTTAAATATTCCTTTAATAAATATATTATTTCTATAAAAATATAGCAATATTTAAAAACAAAAAATAGGACATAGAGTTAATAACTTTTATTTATAAATATATCTAAATAATTTAATAATTAATTTATTAATCTTTTTTTTTCAAATCTTTTTTTAATAATGTAAAAGTTACCAATGTGTTTTGGATATCAATCGAGAGAGAATTTAATGAAATATTTTTATCAAAAAAATAGATTTTATTAAAATTTTAAATTAAAAATTTAAATTAAAAATAAGGTTAAAACTATTCTATTAAATGAAGTTCATTAATTATTATAATAATTTTATTAAAAAACTCAGGCTATAGACAATTGTTTTTTTTTTATATAATAATTTTTTTTTTTTTTTTTTTAATTGTTTTAATAATTTTTTAATTTTTTTTAAAAAATAGCATATTAAAAATTTTTTTTTTTTTTTTTTAAAAATTATTGCTTTCATACCACACATATATAATTTTTTATCCATCAGCTTTTTTTACAATCACACCCATATAATAATATTCATTCGTTTCCACACTTGTATATATATTCTTTTTTATTCTTTTTTATTTTTTTTTTGTAAATAATTTATATTTATATATCTCTTTTTGTTTTGTAAATATTTTGTTATTTTTTTTATTTGTAAATAATTTATATATTTATCTTTTTGTTTGTAAATATTTTTTTGTTTTGTAAATATTTTTTTGTTTTTCATTTCACTATTTTTTTTTGTTATTTTTTTTATTTGTAAATAATTTTTATATTTTTGTATCTAGTATTTTTTTATTTATAAAAAATAATTTATTTTTGTAAAAAAAAATGGATAATTTTTTATATATGTATTTTTATTTAATTCTTGTTGCTACCATCAGTTTGTGTTTATCATTTGGTATTGGTTTATTTATATTCAAAAAAAAAATCGTCAAAGAAGGGGTTTGTGAAAATGTCGACTGCCAGGTCAGTAAGGACGAAATCTGGGGAAACCAGGTACCCCAACAACAAGAACAACCCCAACAACACCAACCCCAACAACATCAACAACACCAACCCCAACAGTATCAACAACACCAACAATACCAACATCATCAACAACACCAACAAAGCCAGCAACCCCAACAACACCAACAACCAAAACTCAATTCTTCAACTCCTAATTATAAATCACTACTTAGAAGTATTCGTGATTATGTAGTAGAAGATGAAGAACAACGACCACAACCAACAACTCAACCACAACCAAAACCAAAGCACACAGCTTCAACCCCTGGTTATAAATTACTACTTAAAAAAATTAATGATTATGTAGTAGAAGATGAACAACAACCACAACAACAACAACAGAAGAGACAACCACCACATCAACTACAAACAAATACTTCTCAAAAGATTAAAGATCTATTAAAAGCTTTGGTCAATTCTTTTGGTAAGCTAAGCCTTCAATCACCTCAATTGAGTGAAGTTGAAAAGGCCCATAAACGTTTAAATAAACGTTTGGAACTTTATCAGTTGATGGAAAGAAGGGAAATTCCAGGTGATGGTAATTGCCAAATGCATGCGCTATCAGACCAACTCTATGGTAACCTCAACCACAGCAGAGCAATAAGAAATATTATTGTAACCTGGCTCAGAAAAAATAGAGGTTTTTCCCTTTCTAATGGAGCCACTCTCTCTGAATTTGTCACAACAACTAGTTGGGACGAATATTGTAATAATATGTCCAAAAATGGTACATGGGGTGACCACCTTACATTAGTCGCTGCTGCAGAAATTTTCAGAATCAATATTTCAATAATTTCTTCAGTCGAAACCCAAAGTAATTTTGTAACAGAAATTACTCCAAGTAAGAAAAGCGACCATGGTATTTTGCTTTCTCATTTTGCAGAATTCCATTACGGTTCCTTGTGCCAATTGGTTAATTAAATTTCTATAGGTAAATTATTTTATTTTCCCTTATTTTTTTTAAAATATTTTATATTAATTTATTCTATTTATCATTAAATTCATCCCTTTATAGCAATAATCAAGTCAGCCTTGGATTCTTGTCTATTTTTAATCCAGTTGTAGTATCATTTATAGTAAAAATAATATTTATTGTATATTAAACAAGTTACAAATATTTCAATTGTTGGAAATAATTATTTAAAAGCCTTCAAATACAAGTAAGTAAAAAAACATATAATCAAAAACAAAAAATCTATATTGAAATGGGATTCATTGAATAAGTAAGGAAAATATATGAATTACTAACACAAATTAATTTTTATTATATTTAGTGGCTTTAATGTAATAGTAGTAGCACTCAGTTTTAGAAACAAATTAAATAAAAATACATCTGAACGTTCTCTTCTATGTCTTTCAAACTCGGGTAAATCAGCTTAAGCAAAGCTCAAATCAATTTATAAAATTCCAAATTAGATTTTGGTACAAGTTCAAGTTTATGTACAAATTGAAAAAGTGTTTGTTGAAATGCTGTTCGAGCTCTTATAGATATTGGTGCATGTGTATCATGAACAAAGGCAAAAAATATGAAACTGAGATCCCACTAATCAAGTAACTAATGAAGCTAATCTATTTAAACAACTATTTTATTAAAATCATTAATTGTTCTGGCCAAGAAACTATGATAGAAATCAAATAGTTTTAGGGAAGAGAACTTAAGCTTTTGTAACCATTGATCAAATTAAGGTAACAACACAATGGTTTTATTCATCAATATTTCCAATACAATAAATATTAAGAATCAAAAATATCAAAATTCACCATCAACCACAACAATTAAACTATTGGATCATAAAGATTATAAAAATCACACCTTTCATTAGTTGGTAAAGAAGATCCGAGAACATTTAGACCAATCTATTTTAGTAATAAACCAAATTAATTATTAGTAATTAAAATAAAAAATTTTCTAAATAAAAAATAAATAATACTAGTTATCAAATAAATTTATAATTAATATGTTAATTGTTATATTTTTTTTAATTTTTTTTTAAAATATTTTAATTTTTTTTTTAATAGATCACATCTCCCTAAATTTAAATAAAAAATTTATTATTGTTAAAAAAAATAAATATAAATTTTAAAAAATAAATAATGTCAAATAATCAACAATATGATACCAAATGTTTAGTTCATCCCCACCAAGATATTATTTTAATATGCTCAACTTGTCCAAACAACATTCCTGTATGTACTGATTGTATTACTGGTATTCACATTGGTCATATATTTATAAGTATTGAAGATGGTAATATTAGAGATCATATACAACAAGAGTTTAAAAATCAAACAATACCAAAACTAAACAACTATTTGGAAAATAATAAATTAATATTGGGTGAATCAAACAGACATTTTAAACAAATTCATGAAAACCATACAATTAATTTAGATAAAACCATTAAAATATTTAAAGAATTAAAAGATATTATCAATGCAAAAGAAAATGATATCAAAAGATTATTAATAACTAAATTGGACGAAAATATAGATGTAAATAATATAATAACAACAACAATAGAAAACAATAATAATATAATTAATAAAGCTATTAAAAATAATAATAATAATAATAGTATTAATAAAAATGAATTTATTGAACTTTTAAAACACAATCATCAATGTAACAATATTTTATCAAATATCTGCAAAATTAATTACCTATCAGAATATAAAAATACTCAATTGATAATTAAAGAAAATCTCGAATCGATCAAAGATCTAACTTACAATTATTTAGAAGTACTTGATGATATTCCTTTTTTAAAAAAAGATTTAAAAACTCTAGAATGTAAGTTTTAACATTAAAGCTTTTATTTTAATTTTATACTAAAAATGTTTAAATTATCTCCTTTAATAAAGTTTATAATTTATAATTTTCAATTTATGAAGACGGGTGTGATGTTAGAAATATAAAAATCAGATACCCTACTATTGGAACAATCAAACATTTACCCGAAACTATTCCAACAACAGTTACACATTTATTATTACTAGATGGCTTTAATCAAACACTTAATTTTATTCCACCCACCGTAGAATCATTGCATCTAGAAAACATCAAGTATCAACTAAAACCTGATTCAATTCCTGCAACAATTACAGAATTATCTTTACTAGATGGATTTGATCAATCACAATAATATATTGTTATTGTTATTTATTACAATATATAATATATAACAATAATGATAACCCTATTTTTTAACAATTTGCAAAAATAGCTATTAACCACCCAAACTTAATAATATTAAAATTTCTATTTGGAGTGGAGAAAAAAAAAAAAAAAATTTTTTTTTAAATTTAATTTTTTTTATTTATTTGTTTTATTTTAAAATTTGTATTCAACATATTTATATACATAATTATTGCTAAACTACATATATTAATATTGATAAATAAAAAACATTTTACTCACTATCGATAATCTTTTCAATTGAATCTTTAATCAGATTTTTTTTTTTATAATAATGGATGTATTATTTTTTAAAGTTTGGAAAAATATATTTTTAAAAAGACTAATATATTTACACTTAAAAAGATTTATTGGTCCAAACCAAAAATTTAATAGCAGAGATCAAAATATCAGTCACCCAGATAGTTACTATTTTACAAATGTTACTTTAAATTATAATGAAATTAATTTAAATTATTTATGGGACTCGATCAAAGTTTTATCATTTGGTCATTCTTTTGATAGAGAGATTAAAGCTGGCTTTTTACCACCCTCGATCAAAACATTAACATTTGGTAACAAATTTAATAGAGCTTTCAAAGAGGGTAGTATACCAGAGTCTGTCGAAACACTTTCTTTTGGCCATGACTTTAATACTCTACTTAAACCGGGTGATGTTCCGCGACTGGTCAAAAGGTTAACGTTTGGTGAAAGCTTTAATAAAATTATAAATGAAGGTGTGCTTCCGCAGTCCATTACATCACTTACATTTGGTTCTGATTTCAATCAACCTCTTAGTCAGGGCTCTATACCACCTTCGGTCGAAAAACTTACTTTTGGATACCACTTTAATCAGAAACTTCAACCAGGCCATATTCTACCATCAGTTAAAGAGCTAACATTTGACTTTGGTTTTGATCAAGACCTCAAACAAGGTGATAATCCGGTATCGTTCAAAAATTAATATTCGGTGACAATTTCAACAAAAAAATTAAAAAAGGAGATATTCCAGCATCGGTCAAGGAATTAAGATTTGGTGATAATTTTAATCAAGAACTTGAAGCGGGTGATCTCCAAGATTCTATAGAGATTTTGGTATTTGGTGGTCTAAACAAGCCACTTAAGCAATATAAAAGAAAGTATAATATGGAGCAATATCAGAAAAGTCATTAAGAATGATATTAAAGAGACATAACATTATATATAAAAAGAAAGTTGTAAAAAAAATACAAATAAAATTTTTTAAAATTTTTTTAAAACGGAAAAATATTTTTTATTTTTTTTTATTTTAATTTTTAGCAAATAACCCAATATCTGTAATATGATTTATTTAAAGGGTTCTTATTTAAATATTAAACATGACTGAGTAATTCAATAATTATCATTTCCATCTTAATAAAGTATGGGGTCTATAAATTTATTCTGGGCGCTGTATTATTTTTTTATTTGTTATTTATTACACGAATTATTTTATTACATTTATAAATGATGATAGGTTAAGCAACAAATTGTCTTGGTTAGGTGCGAAACCAACATTTTTAAAGAATGAAAGTAATTGATGGGAATGATATATGTTGACCCAACCTAATTGAATAAATAAAATATGATATACCAATAAAAATTATTTTATGAAGAACCCTACAGTAATTTATCATTAATTTTTAAAAATAAATATCACTTTTTTTTTTTTTAATTTTCCCATTTTTTTCTTATTATTTTTTTTAAATTTTTTTTTAAAAATTTATCAAAAATAAAATTTTTTATATCGACAAATAATAATTAAAATTATATATTAAAATGAATTTTAATATTGATAATAATGGTGAATTAATTAATATTGATGTATTGTTTAAAAAGGTTTGGGGTAATAAATATATTAGAAATATTATTTTGGGATATTTTAAAGAGCAAACACCAACAGAAAATATTTCACAATTTATTGTTTATAAATACATTGATTTACCTATCCAGCCAAATTTTGAAAATATAAAATTAAAAATTTCCCATTTTAATACAAGCGATATTATCATCGCAGAATCTATAAAGAGACTAGTTTTAGATACCGATGCCATTAGTTTTCGTAATTTAATTATACCACAATCACTCACCTATTTAAATTTTGGGCAAGCATATAAAAAATTTGTTGATGTACCACTAAAACATACCAATATAAAGACATTGGTTTTTGGTGACGCTTTTAATCAAGAACTAAATGAAAATCTAGTACCTTCAAATCTTACATCTCTAATATTTGGTGATAAATTTGATATGGTTATATCAAGTTCGGTTTTGCCTTCATCTTTAAAACTCCTCATATTTGGTAAATCTTTTAATAAACCCATAATACCACATTCACTTCCAGAATCTTTAAAAACACTCCGATTTGGCGATCGTTATAACAAAATGTTTCTTCCTGGATCCTTGCCCTCATCAATTACAGATCTTACTCTAGGTAAAAATTTCAAATTCCCTGTATGCTATCAAGAGAATAATGGTATAATTCATGCAAACCTCAATCTCTTACCCCCGCTCCTCAAGTACATTACTGTTGGTAAATCTTGCCACCTAAAGGACATTTTATCAAACTATACAAACCATATATCATCATTAAAATTAAATATAACTAGGCCTATTCGTTGTGACACCCTAACATCTTTAAATGTATCAAAAATAATATTTGGTCCTGGCTTTGATAAAGAAATCCTTCCAAACACACTACCCAATACCCTCACATCTATAACTTTTGGTACAATGTATATTAAATTTGATAAACAAAATGCTATTCCAAACTCAGTCACAACTTTAATATTCAAACCAACACTCCCTTATTATTACACTTATAATGAAATAACACCACCTTCTGAAGATTTCATAATATATGAATACAAATTACCACCATCAATTACAAGTATCACACTACCCAAATATTATCAATCTTATATTCGATTTGGAAGAAACAAGTTTTTAAAAGATACGGGAAATAATTGGATTTTAAATGCCACATTCGTTGATGATATTTATTATTCGACATATATAAAAAAAAAACAATAAAATAAAGTTTTTATTATTTTTTAAAGGTTTCACTTAATCATTTTTTGTATACATAACACTTATCAAAAAATAATAAAAAAAAACATTGCAAAAGACCAACAACAACTTTAAAAAATATATTTTTAAAATAAATTTAATTTTATTTTATTTAAATATTTTAATAGAAGAAACAGAGGAGTTTACCACCAGTGTGACTCTTCTTACATTCTTCATGATCCATGATACCAAGTGAGGTGGTAAGGACGATATGACCGAATTGACGGGATGGTAATAAATAACTGGCCCATTTTTCGATTTCATCGAGGGTAACGTCGAATCTTGGTGAGATGACACCACATTTGTTGATACGACCGATTAATTCGATAACGATTTTACCTGAACGATGGTCATCAATGATTAATCTTTTTTTGTATTAATAATGCTAATCTAAAAATATTAATAGAAATTTATTAATATTTGTTTTCCCTCCTTTTAGAGTAGTATAAATAAACAATTAAATGTTACTTTAGGATACAGTTTCAGAATTGAATTAAATAGTTCATATAAAAAAAAAAAAGTAAATAAAATTTTTAGAATTTCTTATACAATTTAAATTTATTTATTACATTTTATTTGGTTTGATTATAAAATTATTTTTAATTTTTATCTATTTTGGAACATTGTTGAATTTATATTTAAATTTATAATGTCACTATTTAATTTATCTAATCTGTCTTGATTTAACATTAATGGTTTACCTCTTTTTAAGCCAAAATCTTCTGCACCATGTTGATCAAGGTAAACAGTTCCCCAAATTTTAGTTTTTTTAAGGTATGAGATGATGATGATGGTTTCATTTAAAAATAAATAACAACCAATTGGATGAATATCTAAATCTGGATTGGCATGTAATACAAAGTCTTTATTACATAAACGTTTGTTACAAAGCAAACAGATAAACTTTACTGTACCATTTTTATTATCACATTCTGAGCAATTCTTCTTTGTGGTGTTTTCTAAAAAGAATTTCAAATAATCTTGTGGTAGCTCTGTTTTGATTGAAAATTCTTTCCAACTTCTTAATGGAAGATTTAATTGGTGGATATTTGGGATATCCAAGTTTATATTTGTTGGGGATAACCAATATTCGCCAATTAATTTGTTTACCACTGGATTTCTAAATATAATTGAGTCTATTGATAAATCTGCACCACTTGATCTCTTTATTAATTTTAATAATGTTTCAAATTCTGTATCAAGTTGATTACTATTATTATTATTATTAATATTTTCTGCATGATCGATGCTGGTATCAATACATATTATAAAATAGCAAATTCTTCTTAAAAATGACAAACAAATTCTTTTAATTTCTTGGTCTAAATTTGCCAAACAATTATCGTTTGAATTAAAAAATTCTAAAATTTTTTCCAAATTATTAAATTTCTGAATAAAAAAAAAATTAATTAATATGAAATAAATTAAATAATAATAGTATTAAATAAATTAATACATACATAGTGATAAATGATGGATTGTAATAATGTGCCAATAAAGAATAACGAGATTAAAAATGAAATTGGTGAGTTTGGAATCTTAATACCATTATCCATATTGCTTCTTAAAGTAAATAATGATTCATTTGAAAAATAGAATCTTGTAAACAAACCAAACATATCTAATTTAATAAATTTAACAGAGTCTTTAAAGGTATTTGATAGAATATTAACTAGTTGTTGAAGGTCATATATTCTCTGTTCAAGGTTGTTGGATGACTGTTCGACACATTTCTTTATTAAATTATTAAATGGTTTTCTAATTAATTTAAAACTATTTAAATCAAAGCCATTCTTTCTTTTTGAAATTTCATATGCCGAAATAGAGGAGTTAAACTAAATTAAAAAAAAAAATTAGTTTTATACTCTATAATAAAATTATATTATATAAAGTAACTTACTATATTCCAAAAATGTTCAATTTGATCAATATTTGATTTGCTAATGGTTGAATTTTGGTAAATAAGTATAATGAAATTATCATATTTTTGTTGTTCTTGTTCGGTATTCATTGGTGAGGAGGTGTCTAAATTTTTACATTCCAATACTGATTGTAACCAATTATTAAATTGCTGTTTAATAAAATTCTGTTCTGGTTCTTCGATTGGTTGTCCAAGTGCTTTTTGTTTAGATTTAGTTTGTTTTAAATATTGGGTTAGTTTAATTGTTGAAATTCTTTGTTTTGAAAATGGAACAACAATATTGGAAGGACCTCTGCAAACTGGACATTGGAAACTTTGTAACTTCAGTGGATCTCTTACCCTTGATTGACCATTATGATTACCCTCGATTAAACTATCTATACAACCAATATGGATGAGATGAGAACAATAGTTGATAAAAGGTGCATCGGTATCGTTCATATCGATTGATAAAGAGTCATCAAATTCTTTATTTGGTGCTTTGGATTGAAAAATCTTTTCGATTCTTCTGTTCTCTTGAGAAACGGATGGATCGCATGAAAGTAATGGTATGTATGATAATAAAGAGTATTTGTGTAAATTACCAATATAGCCAATGTTGTTTGTAGTTTTATTAACACTTAGTACATCCCTGCACATTACACAATTACCTAAATCTGAAGAAGCCTCATCTTGTTCGAAATAGAATAGCTCTTTATTTGAATCTACCATACTATCGTCATTGGTATCGCTGTAATATTCTTCATCGCTATCATCTTGGTCATCGTCATTTTGGTCACTATCTTCTTGATCATCATCTTCATAATCATCAAATTCATTATTTTTAATAAACTTCTTTTGTTGCTCTTTCATTAATCTCATCATTTCCATTTGTTTTTTCATTGCAATTTCTTTCATTTGATTTGATGCTGCTTCACCGTTCAATGGGGTTGATAATGGTGATTTTGATAAACCTTCACTACTTGAGTTTATGCTAGAATTATTTAAATTTTCTAATATTTCATGATTTAAAATTTTTGAAATTAATGGATGGTGTGTTTCAAATTTTGATAATGAGTTCATTTGATTAAGCATGGAAATAAATGTTATAGTATTTGGAGAGCCTAGGAATGTTGTTGCCTGTTTGACTGGTTGGACAAGATTCTTCAAAATATCATCACTAGTAAGACCAATATCTAAAATATCATGTTGTGGTTTGGATGAAACAAGGCCAAGAGATTTTGCAATGCTAATTGGTGTTGATACATTGTTTTGATAGGATGAAATCATTGACTTTGGTGGTGATGATGATTTTGGTGGTGATGATGATTTCATTTGGAATGATGAATTGAAAAATCCTGATGACTTTGGTGGCGATGATGATTTAGGTGGTGATGATGATTTTGGTGGAGGTGGTGATAATACTGTATTTTGTTGATTGAAATTATTAGGAACTATATCATTAATTATATTATTTAAATTTACATATTTTTGGTTCTTATTTGGTTTTACCTCTTTTTCTCTTTGTTGGCGATTTAGTTTATTTTCTTTGTAGGTTTCTAATGAAAGATATAATAAATAGAGAGATGAGGATAGCAATGAATCTGAAGTTTTAATTGAGCCTGATAAATTATTATAAATAACACTAAAGAGAATTGTATGAAGGATTTCTGAATGAAGAATTATTTCAATTCCTTTAAACATTTCTAATGGTTTTTCTAGAGGTACAAGGGGTTTGGCATGTATATTTTCAATTTTTTCTTTTCTACAATGGGCATGGAAATTTTCTTCGGATTTTTGCTGTTCATTCTTTAAATAATGAGGATTAAAGTAATTCCATTCCTTCCAAATTTCAGTTTTCAAACGATATTTACCAGCTTCGGTAGTTGTTGCACTTTGATAAACTGAAATCTCTTGAAGGGTATCATCCAATTCATTTGATTCACCAAACTCATCAGAAACTTGTGGATACAATTCAGAGTATGTCTGTGGTCTTATCGCCAAAATATGGATTAATTCTTTACGTAATAATTTTTCTGGTGAAAGATTTGATAATTTTGCACGATCAACAACTAACCAAATAATTGATTCCAAAAATCTTTCTGCCACTGAAGTACTTGAACGGTCAGATTCAGATCTATGTCTTGAATGGTTCATATTTAATAATGGATGATTATTATTATTATTGGTACCAACTGCATCATTATTAAAAAGTTTATTTAATTTTGATAAAAACAATGGTGAAGAATTATTTTCATCATTAACATAGCCATCCAAAACAAACCAGGACGATAATTCACTACGATCTAATATTTGTGAATAGAATTGTTTGGTATCCATTGATAATACAACATATTGAAGTAAATAAACATCTGTTGAATTTAAATCGCATGATCCATGCTGATAATTGGCAATTTGATTGGCTATTGAATCCCCATTTCTTACCCACATACCAGCTTTATATTGGTATGATAATACCAATGTTCTGAGAATATGTTCGATGAGAATAGATTCAAAGTATGGTGATGATGAAATAGACTTTAATATCTCTCTTGGTGAACGTTTAAAATATATTGATTGGAAGTGTAGTATTTTGAAGAGGGCACGATGGAGTGGGATATGTATTGAAACAGGTTGCTTTGAAACTCTATATTCTGGTATTATTTGTTCTTTAATGCCCTTTTTCCATTTATTGCTTTTATCATAGGATCCACTTGCTTGGTAAAATTGAAGAATTCTATTTAAAATATGATCTCTTATCACTATAGCCTCATTCTCTGTGACCATTTGATAATTATCTTCCATTTGTTTAAAAATTGATCTTATTATATTTCTTTGTATTGAAAACTCTAAAGATAAACAGGTTCTCCAAGATGGATCATCAAATTCGATATGGCTTGTTGTTAAACGAGTATTTGGATTCATGGACTCTGTTAATCCCAATGCGTCAAAGCATCTTAATAAAAGATTGGGATTCTTTAATAACCAAAGGAAACTTGATTTGGTTCTGAGTATATAAGAAATTGAAACCATTGGCTTGAAATAATTGGTTTTTAATAGGTAGGGATTTATTGGATTGACTCTTTGAAAATACTCAAATGGATTGACATTAATTGAATCATTATTTAATAAACTAAATAAATGTTGATTGTGTTTTTCTTGTTGTTGTTGTTCTAAATTTTCTGTAGAATTTGATAATGAAGTTTTTAAAATATCCAAACTATTGTTATCTGTATTATTGTTATTATTATTGTTATTGTTATTGTTATTGTTATTGTTATTGTTATTGTTATTGTTATTGTTATTGTTATTGTTATTGTTATTGTTATTAATATTATTATTATTATTAACTGAACCTCTTGTATTGTAAATCGATTTATAAAAATTATTTACAATATGTTTAAATTTGTTTGTTGAAACAATTTTTAAAGCAGTTGAATCTACAGTGAATAATTGAACAGATAAATTTGAATCGTATTTTTCGTTATCAAAAGCTTCAGTCATTGATAATGCCAACATATCTCTGAATTCGCTGCATATGAATAATGAAATTATAAACTTTTCCAAGTTTGATTCCGGTTTTGATGTAAATTCGCAAAATGATTTTAAAACTTTCTGTCTTGAATGTTGGTCACCTGTTTCAATAATTGAATTACCCAAAAGCATTGTAAACTGATCACCAAAAACATCTATGAATTGATTCAATACCTCGATAATAGAGTCTGCTTTTTTTGTATATTGAGGTTTAGTAATTTCTTTTAAAAGTTTTTTCAAAACCAAATTAACTAAAATATCAACTGTTTTTACTGGTAATAGTTTATTTTTATCATCACTTTCTTTTTCTCTCTTTACATGTAACGAGCAGCAACCCTCTTTTTTCCAAGCACTTAGATCACCACAATCACAACACCCATTTGCCGATGGTATGAGTCTATATCGATGTCCAATATGTTTATCTTCTTCAAAGCAGTCAACGCATATAGCACTATTTATAATAAAAAATATAAAATTAGTATTTGGTTCTTTTGATTAATAATAATAAATTGTTATTATATACACACCAGTTTTCATCAATTTGACAGTCTAAACATTTATAAATATGAGAATTTCCTTTCCAAACTTTCCCACAAATGGATCTTGAAGTTGAATCGCTGTATGTTTGCTTTAACTTTTCGAATGTTTCTAACTCCCCATTACTAATTAGTTGTGCTATTTTATTGTAAATATAACTTGGTTTGTATTTGAATAGACTATCGACAAACAAATCTTCATCCTGTAAATACTGGATATTATTAAACTCTTCTTCCTCATCATCTTCGTCACTGTCATCATTTAGTTTTTTTTGAAAAGCCTCAAAGTTTTTCCAATTAAGTTGTTGTTGGTGGAAATCCATCCTTTTAATTCAAGCTTTTAAAAACTTCAATATTAAGAATTAAAAAATTAATTTAAACTCTTTTATAAAACTATATTATTATTATTATTATTATTTGTATAATATTTTATTTATATTGCTATAAAAATTGTTAATTTAAAAAAAAAAAAAAAAAAAAATTAAAAAAAAAACATTTTTTTATTTTTTTTATTTTTTTTTATTTTTTTAATTTTTTTTTTAATTTTTATTAAAAAAAAAATGAATACAAAACCAAATCATTATTTATTCAATGAAAATAATCCTTTTTATTTTATCCAGAAAACAAAAAAAAATATCTATTTTTTATTAAAGATCACCATTTTTTTCAAACATTTTTATATTTATGTCTTTTTTAAAAATAAATATTAAAAATAAAATTATGCAAATATTTCCAAATAAAATTTTTAAAATAAAATAATTTCTCAAACCAAATAAGTTATAGAAATATAAGAAGTTCTAGGAAAAATGCACAAAATAAATTAATATTATTTTTTTTATTTTTTAATTTTTTTTATTTTTAAAAAAAAAAAATTAAAATTTTTTTTTTAATTTTTTTAATAAAATAAACAATAAAAGAGAATATATTTTAAATGTATTTAATGACTGTATTACTTTAATAATAATTATTCAATATTAAATACTGATGTCAACAAAAACAATAGACCCCAACTACCAAAATAATTTAAATAAATTTATTGACTCTTCAAAACAATTTCAAAAACAGCATATAAATTTAAAAGAGATGGATAACGAATTCGATGAATTTGACGAATTTGATGAATTTGATGATCCAACATTTAAAGGTTTAAAAGGCCTATCAGAGGTATTTTCTGGTATTAAAGAAAAACCTAGAACCGTCCCACCTCCTCCTTCACCCGAAAAACCCAAATCAACTATTCCTACACCAATTACATCACTGCCTACCACCACACACTCATATAATAATAACTATAGCAACCTCAATAGTAATAATAACTTTGATAGTAAAGATGAAAATAAAAATGAAATAAGCGATACATTTGACTTTGGAGAAGATCTTACTTTTGATTATGAAGACAGTCAAATCAACAGCAAAAACAGTAACACAAATAAAAACATTCAACAAATAACTCAAAATAAAAATAGTAATATAGATAGTAATTCAAATAAGAATAATCAATTTTTTTCACCTGGTAATATAATAAATAATAGTAAAAATAAGAATAACAATTATTCAGATGAAGAACAAGATAATATTTTCAAAAAGGCAACAAAAAAGAATTCAAATTTAGATGATTTTGAAAATGAAGTTATTACTCTGACATCACCAACCCCCACACCAAAGAAAATTTCACCATCATTTCCACTTAGACCAAGCGCAACAACAACCACACCAAACAAAACATTTTCTTTTACCCCAACCACACCAAAAACAAATAGTATTAATAATAGTAGCAACAATATTTTAAAAAATAGTAACACTAATGGTATTTTAAATAACAATAGTTATAACAATATGGAAATAAATAAAGCCAAGGCACAGCTCTATGATCTTATTATTAAAAAGAAACTATTAAAAAAGAGAAAGCCAGAAACAAACCAAGACAAAGTTAATCATTTTAATGAAATGGGCGAAATTGGTGAAAAGAAAAAAGAAATTAAAAAACTTTTAGAACAACTTGAAAATGAAGAATTAACTTCAAATGAAAACAATAATTTTCCAGCAAAGAAAACAACAACGGCAGCTCCAAACAAATCTAACTTTGACGATAGCTTCAATGATTTCAATACCCATGATGATGGCTTTGATAACGAACATGCATTCGATTTAGATTACTTTTCAAACGATAATAATAGTAATAATAGTAATAAAAATGATTTTAATAATAATAATAATAATAATTATAGTAACAATTATAATAATAGTAATAATAATATAGATAATAATAATAATAACGATTATGACTTCGATAATGAAATAGATTATATAAGTTCAGATGATGATATTATCATACAAGAATCAAAATCAACATTTACCTCTTCAACAAATAACAGCATTAATTCAATTAGTAAAAATAGTAATTTTGGTCAACCATTATTATTTGTAGATACCAACTCTGATATAGAAAGATATAAAAGTACCAGTTTTCCATGGAGCTCAAAAATTATTGAAATAAATAAAAAAACATTTGGTTTTAATCAATTTAGAGAGAATCAAAGAGAGATTATCAACTCTGTTTTGGATAGTAAAGATACATTTGTACTTATGCCAACTGGTGGTGGTAAAAGTCTCTGTTATCAAATCCCAGGTCTTTATCAACAAGGTGTTACTATTGTAGTTTCTCCATTAATTTCGCTGATTGAAGATCAGGTAAAATTTCTTTTGGCTTTAGATTATCCAGCAGCAGCTCTTTGTAGCGGTATTACTTCGGATGATGCTAAGAAAGTGTTTAGGGATTTAAGATCAAACTCACCAAAAACCAGATTACTATATGTCACCCCAGAAAGAGTTGCCTCAAATGAAACTTTTATGGACATTTTAGGAGATCTCTATCAAAAAGGTAAATTTATGCGAATTGTTATTGATGAAGCTCACTGTGTCTCACAATGGGGCCACGATTTTAGACCAGATTATAAAGAACTTTCCATTTTAAGAAAGAATTTTCCATCGGTTCCTATTTTAGCATTAACCGCTACCGCCACCGAAAAGGTTAGAAACGATATTATCCTCAATCTTAATATGAAAAAACCCGTTTGTTTCAAACAAAGTTTCAATAGACCCAACTTATATTATCATGTTATGAAAAAACCAAAAGATGTTTCAAAACAAATGGCCGAATTTATTAAAAAACAATATCCAGATAAAAGTGGCATTATTTATTGTTTATCAAAATATGATTGTGAAAAAATTTCTGGTGACTTAAATGTATGTAATAATTCATAATAGTATAGAATATAGACAATAATATAGATAATAACAAAGTATTTATAATTTATTACTTTTATACTAATATTTATTTATTTTTAGACAGAGTATGGTATTAAATCTGCATATTATCATGCAGGTATGGAAATTCATTCAAGAAACCAAGTCCAAGATAGATGGCAAAAAGGTCGTATTAAAGTTATTGTTGCAACCATTGCATTTGGTATGGGTATCAATAAACCAGATGTTAGATTTGTATTTCATCATTCAATACCTAAATCCTTGGAAGGTTATTATCAAGAAAGTGGTCGTGCTGGTAGAGATGGTCTTAAAAGCCATTGCATTTTGTATTATAAATGGGCTGATAAATTAAGAATTGAAACTCTCATTATGCTTAGTTCAAAAGAAAATGGTACCCATTATAATCTTAAAGAATCAAAAACCAATCTTAACAAAATGGTTAGCTATTGCGAAAATGATACCGATTGCAGACGTTCGCTCCAACTCTCATATTTTGGTGAAAAATTCGATAAAAGCAAATGTGGTAAAACCTGTGACAACTGTTCATTAGATTCTCCAATCAGTGAAAAAGATGTAACTCAAGAAGCTAAAGAAATTGTAAAGATTGTAGAAAAAGTTGGTAACACTGAAACTCTTACAACCATTGTCCAAATTCTCAGAGGCTCTGGAATAAAGAAGATTAAAGATCTTGTCGATAGTTGTGGATTAAAATCATTACATGGGGTAAAAAAAAGTTGGAAACAAACAGATATTGAAAAAATTGCTCACGAACTAATTATTAGAGGGGTTTTAAAGGAACTTGTAACACAAAATAGCTATGGTTCAACTTTTTCTCATATTGGTTTAGGTGATTATAGGAATCTTGCAAATGGTAGAGATACAATTACAATTAAAATTAGATCCGATACTAAATCAACTAAAAAGACAGCCACCAAATCCAAACGTAAGAAGGATGATGATGATGAAGATGATGATGATGAAGAAGTTACTATTGTTGGTGCCGAAACCATTAACAAATCCAGTAGTGATCTTGACCATAGACTCGAAACTCTTCGTCAAGACCTTGCCTCCCTTGATAATCAAGTTGAAAACAATATTTTCTCTGCTGCTACAATTATAGACTTGGTTAAACATAAACCAACAACATTAGATAAACTCGGTTTCGAATATGGTATTGACGGTCTCCCATCTTCTAAAATTGAAAGATATGGTATATTCATCATTAAAACAATTAAAGACTTTAAAGAAGGTAAGCCATATGCTCCAATCGAAAAAACAGAATTCAAGAATCACAACAAAAATAAAATCACATCTACAACATATCTAAGTGAAGATCCACCAACTTTTGAAGAAAATGATTTCGACTTTGAATTTGATGATTCAACTTTTCAAGATCCAATAATCCCATCAAATCAAAAAAGGAAACCAAACGACTCATCTTTAGACAATAGACCAAATAAAAAATAATAAAATATTAAATAATACCAAAAAAAATAAGTATAGAATTTAAATAAACTTAGTTCAATACATCATAACTGGTTTGTGTTTTTTATTTAGTTTCATATATAATAAATAATAAAATTATAAATTTTTTTTTTTTTATGAATGAAAAGGTTAATGTTTTATGTCATTTTATAGAGAATTTAATGAATTTTTTAAATCAGATTATATTTTTAATTAAAATACTCATTTTTAAAAACACACATATATTTAAATTCTCAAAAAAAAAAATTTACATTTTTTAAAAAAAATTATAAAATAGTTAATATAAAAAACTCACACTTCTGAGTTTAAACATTACTATTTTTTTTGATTTATTATATTTATTATATTATTATTTTTTATTTTTTATTTAATTTTTTTTAAATATTTTTCATTAAATTTATTTATATCACTCTTTAATAATCATAAAAATGTATAATTTAATTGCTATTTTCTTTATTATTATCACCATTTTTTTTTTATTATATAATAAAATCAAAAATAATAATAATAAAAATATTAATAAAAATATTAATAATAATAATAATAATAATAATAATAATAATAATAATAATAATAATAATAATGAAAACCATATAGGGTCCAAAAAAAAATTCAAAGAAGATATTTTAAATAATAATGGAGTTTCAAAAAGATCACTTTTAAAATTGGTGTGGCAAAATTAAGAAAAATGTAATACATTCCCGAAAAATTACTATTACAAATAAAATATCATTTATAAATAATATTACCCTATTTGCATTTATTTGTTTTTTTTTATTAAATCTTAACTTGTTAATATAAAATATTAATGTAAGAGATAGTATTTATTTAAAATTTTTCTTTAAAAGTAGTAGTGAATTAAGTGTTTGTATTAACTAAATAGTGATGATGGTGAGTTTGGATTGATTGGGGGCTTATGAAAAAATATTATAGCACAAAGAAACAAAATAAATTCTTCTTAGTATGATAATATAATTGAATTTTCTTCAATAGCTGAATTTGGGGTTATCTGAAGCAAAAACTTTGAGATTTAAGTAATATGACATTAATCACCATTTCTTGCCATATTATATTAATAATCATCCCAATTTGTATTTGATAGTTTACATAGAGAAATTTTTTCTTTACCAATGAAACATTTTATATCTGAGTTCTTGGCTTTAATTTAAGTCACCATAGATTTGATAATGAAAACAATTGGCAATTAGCAAGTATTGGATGCAAAAGACTATTACATCTAAAAGATTTTATATAATGAATAAAGAAATATAAATAAAAAAAATTAATAAAAAAAAAAAAATAATATTTTTATTTTTATTTTAAAAATAAAAAATAAAAAATAAAAATTAAATATATTAAAATCATATTGATTGATGTTTATTTTATATTTAAATGGTGAAAAAATATGTGTAACTGAATGATTAAATTATAAAATGAGTGAAATACATTATATAAAGAAGAATGTGTGAAAATTTTAAAATATAAATATTTTTTTTATTATTAATTTATTTAAATGTATTTTATTAATTATTAAATATTCCTTTAATAAATATATTATTTCTATAAAAATATAGTAATATTTAAAAACAAAAAATAGGACATATAGTTAATAACTTTTATTTATAAATATATAATTAATTTATTAATCTTTTTTTGTTCAAATCTTTTTTTAATAATGTAAAAGTTACCAATGTGTTTTGGATATCAATCGAGAGAGATTTTAATGAAATATTTTTATCAAAAAAATAGATTTTATTAAAATTTTAAATTAAAAATAAGGTTAAAACTATTCTATTAAATGAAGTTCATTAATTATTATAATAATTTAATTAAAAAACTCAGGCTATAGACAATTGTTTTTTTTTTATATAATTATTTTTTTTTTTTTTTTTTTTAATTGTTTTAATAATTTTTTAATTTTTTTTAAAAAATAGTATATTAAAAATTTTTTTTTTTTTTTTTTTTAAAAATTATTGCTTTCATACCACACATATATAATTTTTTATCCATCAGCTTTTTTTACAATCACACCCATATAATAATATTCATTCGTTTCCACACTTGTATATATATTCATTTTTATTCTTTTTTATTTTTTTTTGTAAATAATTTATATTTATATATCTCTTTTTGTTTTGTAAATATTTTGTTATTTTTTTTTATTTGTAAATAATTTATATATATATCTTTTTGTTTGTAAATATTTTTTTTGTTTTGTAAATATTTTTTTGTTTTTCATTTCACTATTTTTTTTTGTTATTTTTTTTATTTGTAAATAATTTTTATATTTTTGTATCTAGTATTTTTTTATTTATAAAAAATAATTTATTTTTGTAAAAAAAAATGGATAATTTTTTATATATGTATTTTTATATAATTCTTGTTGCTACCATCAGTTTGTGTTTATCATTTGGTATTGGTTTATTTATATTCAAAAAAAAAATCGTCAAAGAAGGGGTTTGTGAAAATGTCGACTGCCAGGTCAGTAAGGACGAAATCTGGGGAAACCAGGTACCCCAACAACAAGAACAACACCAACAACACCAACCCCAACAACATCAACAACACCAATGCCAACAGTATCAACAACACCAACAATACCAACATCATCAACAACACCAACAAAGCCAGCAACCCCAACAACACCAACAACCAAAACTCAATTCTTCAACTCCTAATTATAAATCACTACTTAGAAGTATTCGTGATTATGTAGTAGAAGATGAAGAACAACAACCACAACCAAAAACTCAACCACAACCAAAACCAAAGCACACAGCTTCAACCCCTGGTTATAAATTACTACTTAAAAAAATTAATGATTATGTAGTAGAGGATGAACCACAACAACAACAACAACCACAGAAGAGACAACCACCACATCAACTACAAAAAAATACTTCTCAAAAGATTAAAGATCTATTAAAAGCTTTGGTCAATTCTTTTGGTAAGCTAAGCCTTCAATCACCTCAATTGAGTGAAGTTGAAAAGGCCCATAAACGTTTAAATAAACGTTTGGAACTTTATCAGTTGATGGAAAGAAGGGAAATTCCAGGTGATGGTAATTGCCAAATGCATGCGCTATCAGACCAACTCTATGGTAACCTCAACCACAGCAGAGCAATAAGAAATATTATTGTAACCTGGCTCAGAAAAAATAGAGGTTTTTCCCTTTCTAATGGAGCCACTCTCTCTGAATTTGTCACAACAACTAGTTGGGACGAATATTGTAATAATATGTCCAAAAATGGTACATGGGGTGACCACCTTACATTAGTCGCTGCTGCAGAAATTTTCAGAATTAATATTTCAATAATTTCTTCAGTCGAAACCCAAAGTAATTTTGTAACAGAAATTACTCCAAGTAAGAAAAGCGACCATGGTATTTTGCTTTCACATTTTGCAGAATTCCATTATGGTTCCTTGTGCCAATTGGTTAATTAAATTTCTATAGGTAAGTTATTTTATTTTCCCTTATTTTTTTTAAAATATTTTATATTAATTTATTCTATTTATCATTAAATTCATCCCTTTATAGCAATAATCAAGTCAGCCTTGGATTCTTGGCTATTTATAGTCCCGTTGTAGTATCATTTATAGTAAAAATAATATTTATTGTATATTAAACAAGTTACAAATATTTCAATTGTTGGAAATAATTATTTAAAAGCCTTCAAATACAAGTAAGTAAAAAAACATATAATCAAAAACAAAAAATCTATATTGAAATGGGATTCATTGAATAAATAAGGAAAATATATGAATTACTAACACAAATTAATTTTTATTATATTTAGTGGCTTTAATGTAAAAGTAGTTAGCATTGACACTCAGTTTTAGAAATAAATTAAATAAAAATACTTCACGTTCTCTTCTATGTCTTTCAAACTCGGGTAAATCAGCTTAAGCAAAACTCAAATCAATTTATAAAATTCCAAATTAGATTTTGGTACAAGTTCAAGTTTATGTTCAAATTGAAAAAGTGTTTGTTGAAATGCTGTTCGAGCTCTTATAGATATTGGTGCATGTTTATCTTGGACAAATGCAAAAATATGAAACTGAGATCCCACTAATCAAGTAACTAATGAAGCTAATCTATTTAAACAACTATTTTATTAAAATCATTAATTGTTCTGGCCAAGCAACTATGATAGAAATCAAATAGTTTTAGGGAAGAGAACTTAAGCTTTTGTAACCATTGATCAAATTAAGGTAACAACACAATGGTTTTTTCATCAATATTTCCAATACAATAAATATTAAGAATCAAAAATATCAGAATTCACCATCAACCACAACAATTCAACTATTGGATCATAAAGATTATAAAAATCACACCTTACATTAGTTGGTAAAGAAGATCCAAGAACATTTAGACCAATCTATTTTAATAATAAACCAAATTAATTATTAGAAATTAAAATAAAAAATTTAAAATTTTCTAAATAAAATATAAATAATACTAGTTATAAAATAAATTAATAATTGATATGTTAATTGTATAAATTTTTTTTTTTTTTTTAAAAATCTTCCTTTATGATATAATTTATATTATTAGTGTAAGATAAAAATTTATTTAAAATTTGTGTTTGTAATGAATAAATTTATGAGTTTCTGAATAGGTGTTTGGGAGGTAATATGCTTATCAAAAAAATATTTTATAATTTTTCTATTTTGAAATTGATATTACCTGAGCAAAATGTATTATTTTAACCACCTAAAAATTCACCTTTAGAACTGTCAGTAGACAATAGCCATACTCTTTAAGTGTGTATATTACCAAAATCTATCAATAACCAAAAATAAATCAAATCCCAATTCCAGAATCAATTTTAATAATTATAAGATTAACTATGATGTTGAAAAATAAAATAATTTAAAAAAAAAATGGTTTCTATGTAATTAATTATAGTTAATAGCTATTTATTGAAATTAAGTCACTTGAATTTCGATTTTTGTTAAAAAAAAATATAATTTTTTTTAATTTTTTTTTAAAATATTTTAATTTTTTTTTTTATTAGATCGCATCTCCCTAAATTTAAATAAAAAATTTATTATTGTTAAAAAAAATTTTAATAATAAATAATTATTTAAAAAAAATAAATATAAATTTTAAAAAATAAATAATGTCAAATAATCAACAATATGATACCAAATGTTTAGTTCATCCCCACCAAGATATTATTTTAATATGCTCAACTTGTCCAAACAACATTCCTGTATGTACTGATTGTATTACTGGTATTCACATTGGTCATATATTTATAAGTATTGAAGATGGTAATATAAGAGATCATAGACAACAAGAATTTAAAAATCAAACAATACCAAAACTAAACAACTATTTAGAAAATAATAAATTAATATCGGGTGAATCAAACAGACATTTTAAACAAATTCATGAAAACCATACAATTAATTACCTATCAGAATATAAAGATACTCAATTGATAATTAAAGAAAATCTCGACTCAATCAAAGATCTAACTTACAATTATTTAGAAGTACTTGATAATATTCCTTTTTTAAAAAAAGATTTAAAAACTCTAGAATGTAAGTTTTAACATTAAATTTTTTAATTTAATTTTATACTAAAAATGTTTAAATTATCTCCTTTAATAAAGTTTATAATTTAGAATTTTCAATTTATGAAGACGGGTGTGATGTTAGTAATATAAAAATCAGATACCTTGCTATTGGAACAGTCAAACATTTACCCGAAACTATTCCAACAACAGTTACACATTTATTATTACTAGATGGCTTTAATCAACCACTTAATTTTATACCACCCACCGTAGAATGTTTGTATTTACATAATATCAAGTATCAGTTAATACCTGATTCAATTCCTGCAACAGTTACAGAATTATATTTACTAGATGGCTTTAATCAATCACTTAATTTTATACCACCCACCGTAGAATCATTGCATCTAGAAAACATCAAGTATCAACTAAAACCTTATTCAATTCCTGCAACAATTACAGAATTATCTTTACTAGATGGATTTGATCAATCACTTAATTTTATACCACCCACCGTAAGTTTTTTGTCTTTGCATAACATCAAGTATCAATTAATACCAAGTTCAATTCCTACTACAGTTACACATTTAATTTTACAAGATGGCTTTAATCAACCACTTAATTTTATACCACCTACAGTAGTATGTTTGTATTTACATAACATCAAGTATCAATTAATACCTGGTTCAATTCCTACTACAGTTATACATTTAATTTTACAAGATGGCTTTAATCAACCTCTTAGTTTTATACCACCCACTGTAGTATGTTTGTATTTACATAACATCAAGTATCAATTAAAACCTGGTTCAATTCCAACAACAATTAAACAATTATATTTAGAAGATGGCTTTGATCAACCACTTAATTTTATACAACCCAAGGTAAGATTTTTGTCTTTAGATAACATCAAGTATCAATTAAAACCAAGTTCAATTCCTACTACAGTTACACATTTAATGTTACAAGATGGCTTTAATCAACCACTTAATTTTATACCACCTACAGTAGTATGTTTGTATTTAAATAACATCAGGTATCAATTATTACCTTTTTCAATTCCATCAACAGTTATACATTTAATTTTAGAAGAAAACTTTGATCAATCACTTAAATTTATACCACCTACCGTAAAATGTTTGTTTTTATATAACATCAAGTATCAATTAATACCTGGTTCTATTCCAAATCATTTAAAAAGCCTTGGATTTGATAATGGTTTCTCTCAACATTTAACAAAAGGTATTATCCCTGACTCTATAAAATTAATTGTAATTGGTGATGTAGTCTATCCTTTAAAACCAGACTCCATTTCAAACCCCGACCAAACAATATATATAACACACAGATACAAATATCCAAAAATAAAAACGTTCAAGTATCTATGTTAATGATTATATTTATTGATTAGATACTGATAAAAAATGAATAAAAATGATAATAAATTGAAGGAATTTTTTTTTTTGTTTTTATTTTATTTATTGATTATAAAAACAATATACAATTAATACAAAAAAAGATTATAAAAACAATATTAATATTAATATTTTTAGATTAGTAATAATTTATTAATATTTGTTTTCCCTCCTTTTAGAGTAGTATAAATAAACAATTAAATGTTACTTTAGGATACAGTTTCAGAATTGAATTAAATAGTTCATATAAAAAAAAAAAGTAAATAAAATTTTTAGAATTTCTTATACAATTTAAATTTATCTGTTTTTCTTTATCATCTTTTTTTTGGGGGGGTGATCTTTTTTAATTTATTTTTGTTGTAAAAATAATATTAATAATTACCAATTTTTTCGATCATTTATAAACTGATACCTTAACAGAAAGGTTCAAAAGTATGGATTGGTATTATTGGGTATGGTTATTCAAAATAGTGCAAGTTCAATGGTATAAATAATAATTTTCTATACTTATTTTTAAAACAAACTATTATCTCTTTTATTTTTATAAAAAAAAAAAAATTATTTTATTTTTTTTATTTTTTATTTATATATTTTGGATTTAATTTAAAATAGCAGAGCTACCAACATCGCTTTTAGAGCCTCCCCCATCTTCTTCGTTGTCACTATTACTACTATTCATAATGCTTACTGTTTGTGAGTTTATATTTTGATAAATATCTTGTTCCGAATCTGAATTATTTAATTTTACATAATCTCTTGAAAGAATTGGTGCTTGGTTATCATCCTCTTGGGTAGTATTCTGATCCAATGCGCTATAACCATTTAATTTTGAATTTAAAATTGCTTCCCCAAGTGACCCTTCTGATTTTTCTCTATTGAATCTTTCAAATTCGTCATCTTCGTTATTAATATCGGCACCATTTTGCATTTCTACATCCACATTACTGATATCCTCAAAGGTTGCAGTTCTTGCTAAAGCAACTTTAACTTCATTATCCCAATCGATTCTAACAACAACAATACCTAAAACTACAGCTGCTGATGCTAAACCAATACAAAGACCCCACCAAAGACCTAAAACCTGAAGATGAAAAGCGAATGCAAATACCACACTGAATGGCATACCAATGATATAAAATGCACCAAAATTAACAATAGCACCAATCTTATTCTTACCTGTGCCTCTAATTACACCCTGACAAGTGGTTTGGAAGCCATCAAAGAATTGGAACAATGCACTAATTGGGAGAATCTTTGCTACTAAATCCAAAACCTCTTGTTTATTGGTGTAAATTCTGCCAATCCAATGTCTAGATGAAAATTGGAAGAGTGAAATGAGAACCATAAATGACATTGTAATAAAATATCCTATTCTAGTTGATTTTTTTGCCATCTCTGCATTTTTCTGACCTAATAATTGACCAATTCTAACTGATAAAGCAATAGAGACACTGAACGGTAACATAAAAGTAAGAAGAGTGAAATTCATCGCAATAGAATGACCATCAAGTTCGATAGCACCAAACAAACCAGCTAAAACTGTTAGGATTTCAAAAGCACAACCTTCGAAAACCATTTGAGCACCTGCAGGTATGGCTAATTTAAGATACTCTCTTAAACCATCCCAACCAAAGCATTCATTGTATGAAAAACCAAACCATGTTCCTTTGTAGAGTTCAAACTTCTTTATCCAAAGTAAAAGCAAAGCTGTTGCAAAGAATTTCGAAATTGATGTTGATAAACCACATCCTACAACGCCAATGCCCCCACTTGATGTTACACCATGAACTAAAACAAAATTAAAAATACCATTCGCTATATTTAAAACTACACCACAAATAATTGATGGATACATAATACCTTGACCTTGTAAATATTTTTGTAATACTGTTAACCCATTGCTAAACCATAAACCTGGTAACATACCCCAAACATAATGTTTGGTCAACTCTGCTACAACTTCATCTTGATGTAATAAAAGTAAAAGTGGTTCTGTAACAATCCATAATATTGCTTAAAATAAAAATTAATAATTTTAGACTATTGTTATTTGAAAAGAAAAAATTCAAATTTTACTTACTAACAAAAACACTTAATGCCAGTGAAACTACAAGACCTCTTTGAAGTGTTGCACCAATTAATTTATAATTTTCTAAAATTTATAAAAAAAAAAAAAAAAACAT